ACTCGGTGGCCATACCTTTGGTTCTAGTGGGTCCGCTTTGGTCTGGGGTGAGGGGTTCTAGCACCCTGCCTCAGTGCTTCTTTTCTGCAGATTCCACTTGCAGACCTTGGCTGTTGTTAGTTGCTATTGGCTTAGCTCTGAATCGTGGTGACCTTGTGAATAACGAAAAAAGCGCTGCCTGGCCCTGCACACCATCCTTCCACTCATTGGTGTGTGTGCGTCCATTGTTGTAGGGTCCATCTTGTCAGTCCAACTCGTGAAGGGCTGCCCCGCCTCTGCTGGCCCTCTACTTTACCAGACTTGATGTCCTCTTTTAGTGCCCGGTCTCTGGTGATAGAAGGGAGCTGGCATGTCTCCATTTGTGCTGCCGGGAGCAGGTCCTTGCCTACCTTCGCTGCTCCACCATTCATGTCAGCTTGTCTTGACTGGAATACCGAGCAGCAGCTGATCTTGTTCCAGGACTCAGACCTTCGGGGAAAAGTATTTGCATGGAGGGAGAGAAGCAAGCCGTGCAACCAAACTGTTCACTCGGCTTGAAAGATCAGAGAATCAGCTGAGGTTCAGTGAAGCCTTGTGTTGCAGGCAGACTTGGTGCCAAGCTGCTTACTGCACTCCCCTGAGCTGCATCCATGGTCACTTGGGGTCTGGGAATGGAACTCAGGTCTTGGTTCCATGTTCGTTAGTGTCGTGTACAAGAGCAGTCTTAGAATCACCCAGTCTGAGATGCCAAGTTTAAGTCAGCCACTGATCATGGCTACAGACCTGGAGCAGCTTAGCAAATTGATCTGATGATATTCACCTGCCTTGTGTGTAAAATGAAATGTTACTGACTAAAAGAGATTACTGTGAAGGTCAAGATGGTGGTCACAGTGCCTTTAGACTTGGCTAAATGTGGTCACAGAATCAAGACATGAGCAGCGTGCCTTCAGTAGCCATTCATGCTCAGGGCTGCTGGAGGAAATGAATGGATGATGGATGGATGGATGGATGGATGGATGGATGGATGGATGGATGATAAATGAATAAATGACCTGTACCCAAAGGTGACCTTTCCTCTCACATAAATTCCAGCAGAGTCACTGTGAAGTATTTGGCAGGAGCCCTGATTAGCAATTAGTGTTCCACACACAGACCTCATTTTATTGCACTCTGCAGAAATCCCTTTCTACAAATTGAGGGTGTGTTGCAATCCTGTGTTGAGCAAGTCTCTTGGCATCCGTTCACTTTGTGTCTCTATCACGTTTGGGTGATTCTCACACTATTTCACACTTCCTGATAATGCAGTTATATCCTTAATAAACTACTGAATCCAGAATGAACTCGCTGCTAAGTCCCTTCCAAGTCCTAATGACCCTGTACCATGTCTCGTGGTGTTCCCACGGTGGGACTCTCCCAAAGCCGACTGACTCATCTTTGTCCATGTGGGGACAATAGACTGCACGAGGGCTCGAGGGCTCCGTTAGTAAATCACAGACTAATGTAAATGTAACTTTCATGTGAGCTGGGGAAGCCGAAAGGTGCATGAGACTTGCTCACCTACAGTGTGTCTCTGGGGTCTGCTGGGTTCAGGCTGTAGTCAGGCCCAGGGGACCCAGGGTGGCCACGGCCTGGGCCCAGGGCTCAGACCTGCTCTCCAAGCTGGGGACCGGGGTGTGACTGTGAGGTGGTGGGAGGTTCGGGTGGATCCCTGCAAGAGTTCTGGGAGCTGTGCACAGGAGTGCAGGCTCCATATAAGGGCTGCTGTTGTGACTGTGGTGGGCGTGGTGCGGCAGGAGACCTTTTAAGGGCACCAAACCAGCTGTCTTGCAGTGGCTTTCCACCTCGTGTGACACACCCCTTGTGTGTCAGGGAACTGTGCCCCGAGGATTTCCCCAAGCCTGTCTTCCGAGGTGCCCCCGGGTGGACTGTCAGATGAGAGTCTAAGGTTCTGTGCAAACTTTGAAAACGCAGTAAAATACTATTTTTAAAGAACCCCTGTGAGTTACGATAATCCGATCCTCAGCCTACAGCGATGATGGGGGAGCAGGCTGTTCCTGTGGTGCGCATGGGGTGCGGGGGAGGGGCAGAGTGGAGTGGCACTGAGAGCTGCAGCATCAGTTTGCTGTACAAGTCTCTGTATGCTGATGGTCAAAGTAAAGCGCCTACCTGGTGACTCCGTTAAACGTATCTAATATTTCATCAGTCTCTTCTAACCCTGCAGTGGGGGAGGGGGGCGGTGGAGGAGCGCTGGAGAGAGGGGGGGAGGGGGGAGGGAATGAAGAGTCAGGCGGGGGAGGGGCTGCTGAGGTTCTGCCTTTCGTGGGTGAACAGCGCTCTCTGCTGCGTGTTCCGGCTATTGCCATTTGACTTCATAATCGCAGGTGGGCGCCCCTGCTCCGGAACCTGACTCTTGCCCTGACTACCGTACTCGGCTGAAGGCAGGTTTATGTGAGGAGGAGAAGGCAGGAGACCTCAGAAGGGCTCCGTTCATGCCGTGAGCACACAGGATGACGAGGGGGTCATGGCAAAACACGCCGAGGAGCAGACCGACCCCCGCAGAGCAGGAGGTGGGCCGGTGGATTCCAGAGAGCCAGAGCTCATTCCAAGCAAGGTTGCTAGACTCCGCCTCATAGAATAGCCAAGTGCTCATCGATGCTTTTGAAGGAATGTTTGACTAGCCATGGAATGCCAAAAGAACAAGCGGGTTACGTCTGGAGAAGGTGCAACGTTTGGAAGTAAAGATGGTGAAGCTTCAGCTCATGTGATTCAGACATGTGAGAGGCTGCTCCTTGGAGAGGGACATTGTACTTGGGAAGGTGGAGGGACAGCAAGAGTGGAAGACCCCCAACCAGGTAGATGCAGGTAGCAACTGCAGCTGTGGGCTCAAATGTGTCAGGATGAGCATGACACAGGCTAGGACAGGGTTTAGATCTATTGTACTCGACTCAGTGACACCTCACAACAACAACTACTGATCCTGCCTTGGATAAACCACTTAAACCAGTCACCTTTGGAGTCATCTCCAACTCACGTTATTTCTATGTGTCCGGAGTCGGACTCTGCTGTATGGAGATTTTAATGACTGAGTTTCAGAAATAGGTTGCCATGATTTTGTTCTGCGGAGCCTCTAAATGGATTCAAACCCCCAACCTTATAATGAGTAGCCATATGTTTCCACTACCCAGGAACCTCACTGCATTAACCTTAAGTTAGTTGACAGAATGCCCCAGGAAGACAGCTCGAGTGTTCACTTCCACAGTGCCAGCTTTTCTTCCAGTGTGATCAGTGAAACCCACGGAAAACCAGGAGCAATCCAAGGGTCCTGACCCCTTCATGGGACTCCAGCAGCAGCCACAGAGCAGACTGTGGGGGCTGCATCTCTCCCGTGAGCTTCCTGGGTGTTCACCTTCCCAGGGCCTTGAGCTCTCAGCCCCACTCAGAGGGTACCCGTTCTAGAGCAGTTTGCGGTGGGCCTTCTGCATTCCTCTGTCCCCTCGAGGGGCTTAGCCGGCTTTACCATGGACGTGTTTCTATGGGTCATGCTTGACTTGAAGGCAATCAACAATTACATGTACCGTGCGTGTTCCATAAGGGAGCTCTGGCAGCCTAGTGGTAGGAAGCTGTACTGCAATCCCAAAGGCACGTGGTTCAAATCTGCCAGCTGCTCAACAGGAGGAAGCTGGGCATTCAACTCGCATGCGATTTACTGCCTCTGAAAACCTGCTGGAGGGTCAGCTGAGGGTCAGCCAGCAACAACAGTGTTCAATAGAAACAGGAAACATTTCCCTGAACATGATGTTTCCATGGTCCACACACGTAATAGTAGGTTTGGGGCATCGTTGTGTACCATTTCACTCTTAGCTTTTCGTCTCTTGGTTAGTCATTGACCTCTGTCCACCTTCCAGCTGTTGTGAGTCGTGCTGCAGTGCACGGCAGCAGGAGATTAACCCTAACCTTAACCCTAACCCTGCATCGCTTCTGACTCCTAATGACCCCATGCGACAGAATATGTGGTTTCCCACACAGTCATCTTTGATGGCCTGGGCCAGTCAGTATTTCCTTCCATTGTACTGTATTGTCTGAACCGACTGGGTATCACCTGACAGTGACAGCGCTCTTCATGGAGGAGGGTCACCAGGCCTTTCTCCCACTGAACCATCTCTGACCCTTCAGTTAGCACCCAAACACTAAAACCATTGCTCCCCCAGGGCTTCTTGGACATTGGCATATACAGTCTTTTGATTCAAGGTCCTACATCAAGACGCTTACCCCGGAGAGCCTCTGAGCTGTCCAGCATTTGATGTACCTGGACTCGGAAGGAGAAACATTGGGTGCGGGAAAGCAAGTATCAATGACTGGAAGGAAACCTCCCCTTTTTTTCTTAAGAGGACATTTCTGTGCCTCGTTAATTGGTCCAGGGTGGAATCTCCTCTTTGGGATGTGCTCCTCACCCAGGACCTAACAGTCCTCGTCAACAGCTGGAGAAAGGCCTCCAGCACGTGAGGAAGACAAAGGCTTGCACCTTGAGCTTCGGGAAAGTGATACAAGCCGGAGGGGAGGGAGAAAGCCCGCTTTCATGTCTCTCACTCAGCCCGAGCAAACTCCCTTCTCTGCTTTGCTTTTTGGAAGCAAAACCTTTGCACCTTTTAAGACTACGCTTCCTCGTATGTGGAATCCCTGGGTAGTGTAAAACGTTTGCGCTTTCAGTTGCTGTCTGAAAGGCTAGAGGTTCAAGCCTACCCAGGGGTGCCGCAGAAGAAAGGCTGGTCAGTCCACTGTCAAAATCAGTAAAGCACAGCAAGACGAGTTGCCAGCAGGTCATTCCTACACAGTGACGGCCCCGTGCGTCCCAGAGTCGGCCTGCATCGTGGTGTTTCCTGGTCATTGTCTTTCCAGGTTCACATTGCTAGAGCTTTCCTTCCGCAGCGCCACTGGGGGGGGGGGGACTTGAATCCCTGCCCTCCAGGTTAGTAGTCAAGCATCGCCCATTGGGCATCCCCGGGCCTGTCTCCCTTCTGCAGGTTTCTCCCACTCGGCCTTCACGTTTGGAATCGAAAGCCACATCAGTCAGTCCAACATCAACGGGACACTAGTGCCCCCGGCTGCCCTCATCTCCATCCTCCAGAAGGGACTGCAGTATGTGGAGGCTGAGATCAGCATCAATGAGGTATGTCCGCCCCAACCCCGGGGCCTCCTAGACAGGCTCTGAGCGTGGGCTCGGATGGGGACCCCCATCCTCTCACTCATGGCGCCCCTGTTTGCAGCAGAGTCCTATGCTGCCCGATCCTGCCCCATCTCTATGGCCAGTCCATTTAAGTCCATTGTTGGGGCTATTGGCACCCCCACCTACCCACCCCAGTCTCAGGGTCCCTTTTCTTAACCACTGACCCTTCTGGTGACACATCCAGAATAAGTGAGTTGTGAAACAATAACATCCTCAACATTAGGACAGGTTTAAGTTATTGTTATTAATTGTTCAGTGCCATCCAGTCAGCTCAAAAACATAGGCTCCTGATGTGAACGTCGTCCCGTCCAGGCAGTGAGGACAGCCTGGCCCCATCCCATGTGTACCCAAAGGGACCTGAGAATAACTTGGACCTTTTATGGTTTGGTGATTGGGCCTGTCTTGGTCCCTTAGTGCTGCTATAACAGAAATGCCAGAAGTAGATGGCTGTGAGAAGCAGATTTATTTTCTTGGCATTTAGAGGCTAGAGATGTAAATGCAGGGCATTTCGGGGGCGCTCGGAGGACACTGTGTCCCTGCTGACTCTGTCCCTCATCTGTCCGCTTGTGTTCTTCTTTCCTTAGCGATATCCATTGTGGCACGTATCCCCCCCACGATGCCTTTTCTGTCTCATCTAGATCTCAACGGTGATTGATTTAAGAGACACTTTACACTGACAGAATCTCATTAGCATAACAGAAAAAAAAATCCTAATCCCAAATGGAATTCCATTCACATCTGTAAAACCAAATCTCCAGTTGGTTCTGACTTACATTGACGCTGGCACAGAGTAAAGTGGTTTCCAGTGCCATCAGGGCTCCTTCTGGCAGCTGCCTTATTGGTCTAGTGCTGCAGCAACAGCTTTAACACAGAAGGACAGTCTCCTCAAGTTTAGGAAGCTAGTCATCCAAATTCAAGTGCCAGCTCTCCAGGAAGACCCCAGTGTCCTTGCCTTCCCTGGTGTCCAGGAATTTTCTAGTGTAGGGAGCGGAGTTGTTTTTTGACAGGCTAGAGGGTGAACCTGCCTGTCCATCTACTCACTTTCCTCCTCTTTTCTCTCTGGTGAGATCAGAGGTGTTAACAGGCCACACTTGGGAGAATGCCCCTCACAGCACGTCAGGGCTGGGGTGGAATTAAGGGGTCTTGTGCACCACCCTTCAGTGTTTCCGTCTGTTTGGTCTGTCAGATCATAGGGAATCACTCCACACTATCTTTGCATACATTTATTTGGGGGGACACACACATAATTCAATCACGACAGGGTTTGCCACATATGTCTTATGAGGACATTAGTCAACTCATAGCACTGGGGCTGTCCACAGTGGGTGCTGCCCTATCTCACTCCTTTCCGTCACCTCTCGTCTACTGTGGATCCCTTCCCAGCCCCCGGCCCACGTACCCTGGGTGTGTGGTGCCAGGCAACCCCCTTAGTTCCTGTCTGCCCTAGTGCACCTGCTCCCCTTCTGCTTGGGGGGGGGACAGCGAGCTGGGGAATATGCTTGCTGTGTGCTGACGGGAGTCCTTCCACCAGGATGGCACGGTGTTCGACGGCCGGCCCATCGAGTCGCTGTCACTGATCGACGCGGTGATGCCTGACGTGGTGCAGACGCGGCAGCAGGCCTTCCGAGAGAAGCTGGCCCAGCAGCAGGCCAGCGCGGCGGCCACGTCGTCGGGAGCGAGCACATCAGCTTCGGGTACCTCAGCAGCTGGGTCCCAGAAAAGCATACCAAAGAACGGGGAGACCTCCGTGAACGGGGATGTGAGCGGGGCACATGCAATAAGTAAGTGAAGTGCCATCAGGTGCTCCCTGGCAATCCTGAGAGGTCTGCTCAGTAGGTTACCGTTGGGCACTGCCAGCTTCATCCCAGCTCCCGTTGCTAGGCGCCAGCGAGCCGCCGGACTCATAGTGAGCCCGTGGACAGCGAACGGATCGGAGTCCTGCCCTATTCTCACCATCCCTCATCTGTGTCGATCCATTTTGTTGAGGGGCTGCCTTTCTTCTGCTGACCCTCCTACTGACCAACTGAGTAGAACTGCCCTGTACACTTTCCTTGGCCGCAGTCTTTAGAGAAGCAGACTGCCAGGTCTTTTTCTCGTGGAACCATTGGGTGGGTTCAAACCACTAACCTTTCTATTAGTAGTCAAGTACTTAACTATTGTGCCACCAGGGCTCTTTTGAGTTAACATGATGAGAACAGTGCCACTTGGTTGTTACCCAGTGTAATAAAAAGTTTTCCTTTGTGGGCACTTCAGTCCGCCTTCCTGTGGAGGGATTGATTTCTTCTTGGCTGGTGCAATCAAGTAACATAACCGTTCAGCTGCCAGCCAAAGGATTGGTGCTTTGAACCTACCCCAGGGAGCCCCACCCAGTCCTTCAGTACTCATGAATCCGTGAGGGCACTCTCCTTGTCACCTAAAACACAAGCGTCCTAAATACTCCTTCATTTTGTATTCGTAAGTCACATGTCTTTTCTTGCTTCCTGCTGCAGATAATAATTCAAAACCAATGGAGGTCGATGGGGAGGTTGAGATTCCCTCCAGCAAGGCCACTGTGCTTCGGGGCCACGAGTCCGAGGTGTTCATCTGTGCCTGGAATCCTGTCAGTGACCTCCTGGCATCCGGGTAAGGATTTCGGGTCCCAGGCACGCCAGATGCTGGGGCCTGAAATGACATGCTCGCTTGTCTGAAACCTCAGGGAGCATGGTCTCACCTCACTCTTAGCTCACAGCCTCTGTCTTCATAGTGTATGTGGAAGGCACTCAGAAACTCATGGGCGTCTCATGTTACAGGAACAGAGAAGTCCTTGTCCTAAGACACTTTCTCAGTGGGCCAGGAGCAATGCAAAGACATTCCCCATTCATAAAGGTCTTAGCTTGCGAATGCTGTAATAGACGCAACAGTCTGTGGCTTTGGTGAACAGAAACTTATTTTCTTGCCATTCTGGACGCTAGAAACCCAGATCGAGGGCGCCAGCTCTAGGAGAGGCCCACTCTGGCAGCCTGAGGACAGGCCCTTGTCTCTCTTCAGCTTCTGTCCCTCAGTCCCTTGGTGATCTCCATGTGGCAGGACGTCTGTCTCTCCCATTTGTGTGTCCTTGCTTCTGAGCCTGATATGCTCTTTCAGATCTCAAAAGTGGCCCAAGATGTAGCTCAAAGTGAAAAGGCCTGACAAGAAAAGAAACTCTTCCCAGGTGGGATTTGGTAGAGGGTTTAGGGTGCACAACACAGATTCAGTGACAAAAGGCAGAGATTGGGAAGTACGCATCTACAAAGCGAGGGAAATGACAGAGGCGGGAGACCTGCTAGACGTATCTGAGCACTTCACTGTCTGAAGAGGCGCGGACCCACTAGACGTATCTGAGCAGTTCGTTGTCCCCCTCAGCCAACACTGAGGGTCACTTGCTGTTCTTGACCAGGTCTGGAGACTCGACTGCAAGGATATGGAACCTCAATGAGAACAACAGTGGAGGCTCCGCCCAGCTGGTCCTGAGACACTGTATCCGCGAAGGGGGCCACGATGTGCCCAGCAACAAGGATGTAACCTCGCTGGACTGGAACGTAAGTGTGGCCCATCATATCTGACCGAGGGGGGCTTCCTGCCAGCTGCCTGCGGTTCCCCAGGCCTCACTCCCCATCCAGCAGTGCCGGTGGGGCCTGCTGCCCAGGCTGACCATTCTTTTGACTGTCTCAATCTTTATTGAGGAATAACATATCAAATACGATCCACCCAGCGGGGTGGACACTAGAATTTCCCGCCACATTCTTCCTCTGTTCTCTTGGGCTCTGCATTTGCCTGCTGGAGGTATTTGCACACTTGAGATCATATACAAGACTTGCTCTTCTGTGTCTGCCTGCACGCGGCGCCCTGCTTCAAGCCCCAGTTGTGTTGTAACGTGCGGCATCACTTCCTTTCTCTCTGTAGCCGAATGATAATATTCCCTGAAGGACCCCTGTTGGCACAGTGGTTAAGTGCTTGACTGCGAACTCCAAGGTTGATGGTTTAAACCTACCAGCCACTCTTCAGGAGAAAATGCCTGGTCATCTGCTCACATGGAGGACAGCCAGGAAATTATGAGACAGTTCTTTCCTGTCCTGTGGTCACTCAAAGGCAACCCGCAACAAAACTGCACAGACGGACCCCTGGGTTGGTCCAGCCAGGCTGTTGTGAATAGTGCTGCAGTGAGCATGAGTGTACAAGTTTAGGCCCCTGTCTTTTAGGTTTTGAGGTACACTCCTCGGATTTGGAGTACTGAGCCATTGTGGGAACTGTTTAGCTTTTTGAGGAACCATCAAATGGTTTTTCAGTCTGTTAGGTAGTTGCGGTCCGTTAGTGCAGTGTGGGGAACCAGGCCAGGAGGTGCCCCATGACCGTTCTGGGGTGAGTGTATGGTGTCTGTGTGTCTACACGGATTGGGACACACACCATTCTTCACCTCTTTATTTTCACTTCCTCTCTTGCTTCTTAGATGTTTCTACAAACTCTGTCCTTTCATCACCAAGTCCTGTTTTCAGCTGTATGCAAGCAAATTTCCAAAAATTTATCAAAGTCTTATATGATTCTCTCTAGTGTTATTATTTATGACGTTTAATGATTAGATGCCCAGAAAGCAGAGTGTGGCCACAGGGTTTGTTTCTCCCTGGTTTCCTGGCGAGCCTTTGAGTCCTAATGGAGGAGTCTGGTGGGCAGCCAGCAGGTGTGATGGAGCCACTCTTGAGTTTTGCGCGATGAGTGACTGATGAGAACTCCAATCCTAGGGTAGCAAGGAGGGCACTTTGTGCTCTTTCTGTGTCATGATGATGGAATTCTTTTGACTGCTTTGTGCTTCTTTCTGGCCCCTAGAGCAATGGAACACTGTTGGCTACTGGCTCCTATGATGGCTTTGCAAGGATATGGACGGAAGATGGTGAGTCCTGTGGCCCATGTGTTCATGTGACTGAGTGGTTACACACTTGACTCAAAGGGTCAACGGTTTAAACTGACCAGCAGCTCCGTGGAAGAAAGCTTCTGTAAAGACAACAGCCTCGGAAATGTTACGGGCAGTTCTACTCTGTCCTGCTCGGTTGTGGTGAGCTGGCATGACCCGATGGCACGGGGTTTTGTTGGTTGGGATTTTGTGTTTGCACAGTATAAGAAGCGTGCTGGAAACTTTCCACTGAGTGAAAGTGTCATAGCTTTGAAGCCAACATGTTGGTTTGTTTTTTTGTTTTGTTTTTTTTTCACATAACAGGCAACCTGGCCAGCACCTTGGGCCAACATAAAGGCCCCATCTTTGCCTTGAAATGGAACAAAAAGGGGAATTACATTTTGAGCGCTGGTGTAGACAAAGTGAGTACCACCTGACTGCCTCTCTTTGATCTATAAATGCTTATTTCTTTTTCATCTCTAGATAACATTGTGGTTTCTTTGAATTCTAAAGCACTCTGTTTCCCCTTAAGAAATCAGGTGAACTTGTTTAGAATTTATTTATTTTTGTCCTTTTGATCTTACTGTTATTTTTTTCCCTTGAGTGAAAGGGCTTTTTTTTTTTTTAAATTGTGGTAAAGATACACATAACAAAACATTGACCAATTCAACAGTTTTCACATATACAATGTAGTGATATTAAGTACGTGGTTCATGTTTGCAGGTTTCATCTCTGTCTTGAAGTATTCCACCACTACTAACAGAAGTTCTGTTAGTTTCCTAAGTCCCCAGGCAGCATTCCTCTTTCCTCTCCTGTCGCTCCTGCTCACCACTGATAAATTTGGCTTTCATACTGGTAATTTCTGTCTCATCATAGGAGTCCCTGAGTGGCAGACACTGAACTGTGAACGCAAAGGTTGGTGGTGCACACTCCCCACCAGAGTGCCTCACCAAGCGGGCTTGACAGCCTGCTTCCAGAAGCAGATGGTTTGCCTTGTAACACATCTCTGAGTACAATATGTTGTTTCGGACTCCAAAAGGCTTTTGCATTTGCACGGTGTTTTCACAATAATGAAAAAGATCTTATTAGAGTACTATTTTCTTTATCTTCAACTTCTAAAAAAATTATAGGAAAAAAATAGACTTGACATCAACACAATCATCAGACTCTTTAAACAATTTTATCGTGGATTCAGATATACCAGTGATCATAAAGATGGCCCCAGATAACCAGGCATTCACTTGTGCATGGGATTGCCACGTTTTAGAGCTAAGTAGAAACCGATGACAGCAGGTGGTTGTCTGGTAGGGTCCTATATTTACATGCTGCATTAAGGCAGGGGTCAGTGAACTCCAGCTTCAGGCCAATTTCAGACCTCTGTTTTTATAAATAAAGTTTCAAGGTACACAGCTGTACCCATTTGTGGCTACCATCCCAGCACAGTGGTAGAGTTGAATTACTGCCTTAGAGTCTATTGAGGCCACAAAGGAAAAAAATATTTATCGCTGAGACCTTCACAGAAAATATGAGCCAACCCCCATTCCTGAATATGACCCTCTAAGTCAACAGTTCCTCCGTTCTCTGCCTCTTTTGTAAGCCAAAACACTCTGCTGAAACTTGATTGCTGTGATACACACCTTTTCCTTATCTGGCATTCTACGTTTACAACAATACTTCAAAATCTGCTATCTGACTGTTGTGCACGTTCACAACATATGTCTGGCAAAATAGCAAAGTGTAAAGCGAAAGGGATGGTTGTGGTGCTTAAGGTTGAGTGTCAGTTTGCCTAGGCCACGATTCTCTGTTGTGGCATTCCTGTCAGGATGTAGTCATCGTCTATTTTCACACAACACCAATTTCCACATAAGGACTTGATCTTTGGAGCATAACCCTGTTGGTACGTGAGGACAGAGTGTAATACCAAGTAAAGCTGAGCCGCTGTGGTCGGCACATTCTCTGTTCTCCTGGGTTCCAAAGCTGCAGTGGAGACGTCAATTTAAGTAGGCCTGTACTTGCTTTCCTTCATGGGTGTCAGTCCCCATCAGGGATTATAAAAGTGTAAAAAAGGCTTTGATTCTGAAGGCAGGTACTGAGGGGTTGAAGGGGAGACTGGTGCCAGTCATACCTGGAAGTAGAATATTTATGGTAAAAAAATAGGAATTTTGTTCTCTACAGATTAGTAAGTAGTCTTATTACTTGTTAGTACAGTAAGCCCTTACCGACCTTGCTTCGGGGCGATCTGACTCTGCTGCCCGGCGATTAACCGTCCGATCGGTGGGCCTGCGCCCGTGGTGTCGACGTCGTATACTCTCCATCTTGATCACTCCATCAGCCTTGGCAGGCATGCTCTCAACAGTTACAGAGAGAGAAAATGTAATTTATAGGATGCCTGAATCGATCTTCAGTATTTACCTTATCCCAAGTAACTAGAGTGTTGTCTTGTTGTTGTTGTTGTTATGTGCCGTCGAGTCATTTCAGACCCATAGCGACCCTATGCACAACAGCCCTAAACCCTGTTCTATCCTGCGCCAACCGCACCGCCTCTGACACACCCATCCCGATTACCCCAGTCACCGAATCAATCCTTCTCATAGAGGGTATTCCCCTCCTGCGCTGTCCCTCCACCCTCCCAAGCATGATGTCCCTCTCCAAGGACCCGTCCCTCCTGGCAACATGTCCAAAGTATGTCAGACGAAGCCCCAGAATCCTTGCCTCCAAAGCGTAGCTTGGTTTAATCCTCTCCAAGATGAATCTGTTTGTTTTCCTGGCAGTCCATGGTACATTCAGTACCCTTCTCCAGCACCACAGCTCAAAAGCATCCACTCTCCTTCTGTCCTCCCTAGTCACTGTCCAACTCTCTGATGCATAACAAGCAATTGCAATTACCATGACCTGTATCAGGCGCACCTTAGTCTCCAGAGAGACACTGTTGCTCCTGAGTACCTTAGAGAGGTCCCTAACAGCAGACTTTCCCATCGCGATACGCTTTTTGATTTCCTGACTGTTGGTGCCAAGAGTGTTGACTGTGGAGCCGAGCAAACTGAAGCTGTGAACACTCTCAATCTCTTCGTCATCCATCCTGACGCTGCTAATTGGTCCAGTGGCAAGAATCTTTGTCTTCTTGACATTGAGCCTTAGTCCATACTGAAGGCTGCAGTCCTTGACCCTTCGCAGCAAGTGCATGAGGTCCTCCTCAGTTTCAGCAAGCAGGGTTGTGTCATCTGCATAACGGAGATTGTTAATAGATCTTCTACCAATCCTGATGCCACAATTCTCCTCATAGAGCCCAGCCTCTCGGATAATCTGCTCTACATACATGTTGAAAAGGTATGGAGACAGGATGCATCCCTGGCGTACACCCTTCCCAAATTTGAACCATGCAGTGTTACCCTGCTCTGTTCTGACTACTGTCTCTTGGTCCAAGTATAGGTTTTGTATTAGCACCATTCTTCTCAGAGTCAGCCACAGTTTGTTATGATCCACACAGTCAAATGCCTTTGCATAATCAATGAAACACAGATAGACTTAGAGTCGTAAAAACTTCTGGATACTTGGGTTGGTTTGGTTTTTTCCTCTAACATAAGCAGTGTAACCTAAACATTAACTGATGGCATGTGTGAAAGTGTGTCGTAGAATCGTGAAAGGTCTGTTTGCATCATCCCCACAGTGGTGGGTTTCTTGGTGGGTGGCTGCATTAAAAAATGAAAGCTGTTGGTGGCACAAGAGTTAAATACTCAACTGCTAACTGAAAGGTTGGCAGTTCGAACCCAGCAGTACAGCACGTCCACAAGAGAAAGCCCTGACAGGCTCCCCCCACAAAGATTTCAGCCCAGAAAACCCTGACTTCTTGGCACATGGAGTCCCTCCCCACCAATGTTTTTCCAACTTTAATTGATCTGGAACTGGTGCTTAAGACACTTCTGTGAGTCTTCCTGAAAGTATCTACAGTCATTGGGAAATGAAGTACATTCTCAAAAAAGAAGTCGTTATTCTTGTGACGTACAAAAGACGTTCCTGCTAAGGTGGCCATTGCAGTCGATTGAGAGATGTCCTGGGAGTCTGGTCGAGCTGCCCCCAGCAGTTTCCCTGACACTCTGCTTGCTGACAGGACCACGGGAAGAAATCAGGACTGACTTGCTTTCTCTAGGCAGGTACCTCTCCTGCCAGCTTCCCCAACTCCACGGAGATTCCCATCCTCTGCGATCCTGGACCCACCAGTTCATGGGGTGTGCAGTGGGGAGTTTCTGAAATGCCAGCCTCTGCAGCTTTGCAGTTGGGAAAGAGCCAGGAAGACTTTGCAGATGGGCTTTGGTCAGATCTCTCACTTGCCATCGTTTCAGATAGAGAGAATGCCAGGCACTTGGGGTGTCCAGGCGCTTGTTTGTACACGTAGCACATGCAGTTCAGTGCTTCACTGTTGAGTACTGTCGAGTCAGAACCAACCCATAGCTCACCCTTCCGTGGATTTTCACGGGTAGTAAATTGCCTCTGAGAAGACTGCTCGTCTTTTTCCCGCCAAGCAGCTGGTGGAGTATAGTGTACCTTTGCTTCGGCAGCACTGTGCCTTACCTCAAAGCTATCTCAGCTCCCTCATCCTAAGTAGGTCTTCTAACCAAAAAAATAGGTGGTTCAAACCCACCCAGAGCAACCTTGAAAGAAAGGCCTGGAAACCTGCTTCTGGAAGATTCTACCTTGACCCTGTGGAGTGTAGTTCTGCTCTGTGCACACAGGATCTACGCGACATGATTTGGTGTGTTCTTGACAGCAACTGGGAGCTTTGGCACAAGTTGATAAACACGACGTCATATTATCTCATGAATACTTTTGTATCAGTTCTCCATTGAAATTGAGTGGAATAAAATGTGTTGTGAACATGGATTTGATAGTTACCTATTCCTTTCTTCCCCCAGTGTGGTTGTCGGTAAGTGCCGTTGAGTCAGTCCCAACTGCTGGCGAGCTTACATACAGCAGAACAAAGCACTTGTTGGTCCTGCACCACACTCACAACCATTGCTGTGTTTGAGCCCGCCGTGCAGCCTCTGTGTCAGTCCAGCTCGCTGGAGGTCTTCTCTCTGTCACTGACCCCTACTTCATCAGTCATGCTCCACGGTGCAGCCCCTTCTGTTCACATGTCCAACGAGCATGAGACAGTCTTGCCATCCTGGCGTCGAAGGAACCTTCTGGCCACACTTCGTCCGAGACACACTTGTCTGTTGTTTTGATCCAGTCCATGGTATAGTCAATGTTCTTCACCAATACTGTGATATAAAGGCGTCACTTCTTCAGTCTTGCTCACTTGTCCTGTACATGCTGTTGTGTGCTGTAAAGTCAGAACCGACCCACAGCTGCCCCTCCGGCAGGTTTTCCGAAGCAGCAGATCGCACAGGAGGAGAGTGTCCGTCCTTCTCCCGTGGAGCAGCTGGGAGATTTGAGGTGATTAAAAGTACTATGGCTTGGCTCGCTTGCACCTTAGTCCTAAAATTCACATTTTTGCTTTTTTGCAATTTAAAGAATGACTTTGGAGCAGATTTGCCCCATCTGATGTTCGATTTTTTTGACTGCTACTGCCATAATCATCGATTGTGGACCCAAGTAAAAAGAAATCCTTGGCAGCCACAGTTTATCATGGTACCACTTATTTGTGCTTCGTACTGTAACCAGTGGGAAACTTAGAATGGTCTTCCTAGCTCTTCTTACGTCGTTCTTGGATAACGCTACCAGAGAAAGAAGACGAGGGCTCTCTGTCTTCTTTTGTATGCTACAGTTTGCTTTCTTTCTCACTCGTTAGAGAAAACTTTGCAAGAACAGCTACTAACTTCTTTTGTTTCCTGAGTGCAGACCACAATAATTTGGGATGCTCATACCGGAGAGGCCAAACAGCAGTTTCCTTTTCACTCAGGTGAGTATGCTATGATATGTCTCTTCCAGTCGCTGTGAGTTGCTGAGCACATAAGCCCAGCTGTCAAGGAGGAAACGGTGCTCCTAAGGCTTGAAGGTTATGAGTGCTCGCTTACCCACCTGTTATAGAGTCTGAAGGCATGGCGGAGCGCCCACTGCAGTGTTGGACTGGGCTTCTTTCCCCTGGGATCCAAGAGGATCCTGTCTAGGGCTCCAGGACCACCCCCGAGTTTGCAGAGTCATGCGGAGGACTCGGCGGATGGTGGCTTACATGGCACGGTCCGCAGAAGTAGGAGGCACATAGACCGAGTCTAGGTCAAGCAGGCCCAAACTTCCAGGACTATCTCTCATGGAACCACACTGAAGACACATGTCTCTAAACAGATGTGACGGTTCACTGGCCAGGAAGCTCCTTAGAGATGCTGCACCCAGAGTTGAAGGAGCTCTGCTCACGCAGGCACCTAGCAGAATCCCAGACCCCCAGAAGGAAAGTAGGTGTTGAGCGTCAACACCATCGTGCAAACAATCTGGGCACCGTGGCCAGATAGAAAATGCTGGGAACGCCCCTGAGATCCCCGTTTCTGGGTCCTTCCAAGGTGAACACTTAGATCTGTGTGCACAGATAGCTGCTGCTGCTCGGGGACCAAGCCATACACTTTTAGGTGCCTGGGACCACCAGGTGTCCAGAAATTCCAAAAACATACCACACCAGCCAAAACAAAAAGATTGTTAAAAGGTAGACAGAAAGCTAACAGAAGGAAGTAGGTTCCCCATCCTTTGGAGGGAAGTCTCTTCCTTTTGGGGTCTTCTCTGAGTGTCAGGTGTAAACATTTTCTTGGTTATCCGGCCACTGGCAGCTGTCCTGAGGACCTCTATATGTGGAGAATGGGGTCTTGTCTCTTTGGACACATTTGGGTGCCTGTGTCTGTGGCACACACAGCCTAATATTGACCATTAAGTGAGTGTTTCCGTTTCCTAGAGCTGCTGTAACACAGCACTGCAGGCAGCGTGGTTTGTAAGGCGAGAAGGGTCTTCACAGGTCGAGAAGGCAGAAGTCTAAAGTTAATATGTGGCAGTGCTGACCTGTGAGGACTTCCAAGGGAGAAGCTGGCCTGGTGCCTGCGGGCGTCCCCTGGCCTCCTTGGACACACCACATTTCTCCCTGCCTCCCGCTTCCCTCTGCGCCTTTTCTTTTTTAAGGATCTCACTCAGGTGGGATTAGCACCCCCTCTGCTTTTGCCTGACCTCCTGTCCACCTAACTGTTCACAGCTTTGAAGATTGTTTCCAAGCAAGGTCATTTTCACAGGTACCAGGGGTTAGAACTTCTCTATAAAGCTTTCCCCTCCCCTTCAGGAAGAGCACAAAGCCCTACCCATGATGTTTAGTTCATTCACATTACTGTGCAGGTATAGGCACATTTCTAGAACGTTCTCATCATCCCAGTAGGGAGCCCACTAAGGAGTTGTTGCCCATGCCCCCTGCTCCTCGGCCCTGGCATCCCACCTGCCTTGTTTGCATCCCTGCGTGTCCTCTCCATGCTGGACTCTGGCTGCCCTGTGCCTAGGACTCTGCACACCTGTCTACACAAACCCCCCAGAACAGCTCGGCCCCAATTCCTGTCACCCGTCCACAGCGCTGCTGCGATGCACAGGCTCCAGGGGCCCTAAGTGGCTCCAGGGGCAACTTAGACTTGGTCAGCCCCTGACCACAGAGGTTCCATGGTTGGCATCTGGGCTCTCGGGAATATGGGACTCCAGCTTGACTGTGGGGAGTCAAGACCCAAAATGTGGAGTAGTGAAGGGAAAGCCTTGCCTCATGGACAGAGCGAGTGGCATTTCAGAGAATAGGTGCTGGCCTCAGCAGGCTGGTAGAGTCAAGTTCACATTGTCCCCTTTCCAGGGGGCACCCATGGAGCCTACTCAGAACTCGGGCCCCTCCTGCCTGTGTCTCCTCTTCCCTGGACATGGCCTCGTTCATCCTATGTACGCTTTGTCCCTTCTGCCAGCACCTCATCGTGGGGGAGCTAGGTTTTCTGCATCTCACAGAATAATCCTCTCAGTGGAAGGGCGGGTAGGAGGGACGGTTGTTTAAAACTAAGTCCTAGTGGGGCAGTGAGGCAAGTATTAGGCTGCAAACGGAAAGGTCAGTTACTCAAACACAGCAACTACTCTGCAGCTGAAAAATGTGGTGGTCTACTTCTAGAAGGTTTCAGCTTGCAAACCTGCTGGGGCAATTCTGCTGTCCTGTGGGCTTGTTAGAAGGCTGACTTGACAGCTGTGGGTCTGTCTCAAACACTAAGTCCTCCCTCCACAGCATTATCCCTGAAAGAGGAGGCAGGCAGCCACAGACAGTGCTTGCCCGGCAAGAGGCGTAATGACGTCTCCCTGGGGAGGCAACTGGTCATCCCTCTGGATGTAGATGGGGGGGGCAAGGTCTTTGAAGGAAAGGAACTGTGCCCAAGCTAGGAATGTTTGTCACTGAAGGATTAGGCGTGGCTTCTTGACTGTGCGTGCACATAGGTGTTCTGATGCACGAGCTCGCTTCTGTGCATAACTGACTAATGGACGCCGTTGTCCTTTCTCCCCGACAGCTCCTGCTCTCGACGTGGACTGGCAGAACAACAACACTTTTGCCTCGTGTAGCACGGACATGTGCATCCATGTGTGCAGACTCAGCTGCGATCGCCCTGTGAAAACTTTCCAAGGGCACACAGTAAGTGGGACTGCTGAGCACTGGACTCGAGTTCGGGAGGCAGTGCCAGTAGGTGGGAGTTGCTGCTTCTGTGGTGTTGCTGTTTGTCATGTGCCTTCGAGTCAGGTTCTGGGCCCTGCTCTATACTGAGCCAGACTCACTTCCTCTGACACACCTACCCTCATTCCCCTGGTACTGTGTCACTCCATCTCCTCCAGCGTCTTCCTCTCCTTTGTTGTCCCTCGACCCTTCTAAGCATGACATCTTTCTCCAAAGACTGGTCCTTCCTGGCTACATGCACAAAGTACGTGAGATGGAGTCTCAAAATCCTTGCCTCCAAGGAGCAGCTTGGTTTCACCCTCTCCAGGACAGATCTGTTTGTTCTCCTGGCAGCCCATGGTATATTTAGTACTCTTCTCCAGCACCACAACTCAAAGGCATCAATTCTTCTGTCATCCTTTATCATTTGTCCAGCTCTCTGATGCATAGCAAGTAATTGCAAAGACCATGGCCTGGGTCAGGCGCACCTTAGTCTCTTAAGTTCACAGGGGGTTGGATTAACCCAGATGTGACTAGGCATTAGCAGTGGTATTGAGGAGATGAGTTGAGAAATCAAGTGAAAGAGAATTTTGTTTTGGTTTTTAAGAAACGTGAATTAGGCTGGCACATTATGTATGGCAAAGTGGAAGAAAAAAAGAGTTTGGAAGCCCTGTAAAGGAGCCTTGGTGGTGTAGTGCATAACTAACTGACTGAAGATCTGCTAACTGAAAGATCTGCAGCTCGAATCCACTGGTCACTCTGCAGGAGAAAGATAGGTAGTCTCCTCCAGTAAAGATTCAGAGCCTCAGAAACCCAGTAGAGGGTCATCCTGCGTGGGAACTGACTTAATGGCAATGAGTTTAGTTTGGGAGTTCTAAGCCTTATTGAAGAACTCTGGTGGTGGAGCTCTTCGAGAGTTGTGCTGCTAACACAGAGGCTGTGCGTCCTTGCCAGTTCGAATCCACTAACCATGCCGCAGGAGAAAGCTAGGAAGTCTCCTCCCATTTGACGTACAGCCTCTGAAATCTGCTGGAGGGTCACTTTGCACTCCACAGCAGTGCGCTTCAGGTCCTCTTTAGTAAATCCAGATGGGCTGCTGGCAAAGCTGACCCAGGCACTGCTGCACCCTGCTGGAGAGTGGTGGTCCATGTCCTAGGCTTTAAAAAAAAAAAATAGAATATATAGATATATATATAGCTTGACACATGCCAATTAGATTCTTCCAGTTGTGTAACCAGAGTTGCTCGAGACCTTCCTTTCTCTTACAGCATTTTTCTCTCTTTCAGAATGAGGTCAACGCAATCAAGTGGGACCCTTCTGGATTGCTGCTCGCATCCTGCTCTGATGACATGACCTTAAAGGTAGATCACTCGCCCACCCCTGATGTGAACACTTGCAAGGCTGATGCTCGTCGCCCACCTCAGTTATTATTTTGTTACTGTGCACATGTTCTGTCCTCTGTTATTTTTTTTACATGGCTAACTTAGTTAGTTATTTGAGTTCTTGGGTGGTACAGTGAATACACTCAGCTGCTAAACAGAACGCTGGAGGTTCGAACCCATCCAGGGATGCCTTAGAAGGAAGATGGGGCAATCTGCTTTTAGAAGTTCACAGCCATTGAAAGCCCTTGATGATTAAAGTTCATCTAACTAACTCCTGTTTACCATCTGAGGATTCTGCGGAGAACCCCAGCCTTCCTCTCACTTTGCCCCCCATCGCTTCTGTCCCCTTTGCTGAGCCCATTCTGGAGTTGAGGATGCCACTGTGTGCTCATGGCTCTCTCACTTGCCTCCTCAGATCTGGAGTATGAAGCAGGATGTGTGTGTCCATGACCTGCAGGCGCACAGCAAAGAGATCTACACCATCAAGTGGAGCCCCACTGGGCCAGCCACCAGCAACCCCAACTCCAACATCATGCTTGCAAGGTAAGAGGAGCCTTGTGTGTGTCTAGGCAGCGCCCTGGTCACCAGAGTTACTCTCAGACAGAGAGAGCTGCACACTTAGCTGTGCCATGATGCAGATCACATCAGGCCCTTCCCAGCCACATGATACGGTAGTTCTCAGACAGCAGCTTGTATGACACAGAGTGCTTTAGCCATCAGGCTGCAAGAAGGCTGACATTATATGGCCAGGTTTCAGGCACATTGCTCTGGGGGCACATTCTGTTCAAACAGAGAAAGCAAACGAAGTCTTAGCCTCAGACTTGGGCCTGGTTGTGCTTGGTCAGCTTAGATGTGCAGGTAGCAGGATGTCAGAGTGATGCTGGAGGTTACCCTAACTCTGGCGCAATGGTTAAGGGCTCAACTTCAGGCTGAAAGTTTGTCAGTTCCAATCTCCCCAGCACTTCCATGGGAGAAGACTTGGCAATATTCTCTCTTAAATATTCCAGTCTTGAAAACTCTGTGGGGCAGGTCTCTCCTGTCCTGCAGAGTCACCATGAGTCAGAATGGACTCAGGAGCACCACCAACAGCCAATAGCAGTAACCTGACCATTTATAGAGAGGTTCCATCAGGACCAGCATCCCACACTAGCATCACAAAGGGTGTAGTGTAATGACGGCCTCCCCAGAGCCAGTTACTGCCCGCTGCAGCAAACTATACAGTAGCTCTTTGACGTGGTCAGGCCCATTAAGATCCACTCTCCAGTACTGTGTTTTCAAAGGCATTTTTACAAGAAGAAGCTGGAACAATGCTGAGACTGCAGACCAGGCTGGTTAGGGGTCTGGAAACCGTAATAGGAAGGGCTGTGGATGTCGACTTACCCCAGAGAAGAAAGAACATGGGGAACTAGCCATTTTACCAAGAAACAGAACTCAAATGATTGTGTCTAAATGGTCACCTAAGTTACCATGGTGTAGCACATACTAGTCAGATTCATTTGTTGTTTGGTTTTTAATAAGATTTTATTGTCTTTGCAGTGAAGGTTTACACAGCATTTGAGGTTCCCATTCAAATATTTCTCTACAAATTAATCAATGATATTGGTTCCATTCTTCACACTGCCTGACATTCTCCTTATTTCCCTTTTGGTGGTTCTGTTTTTATTCATCTTGTCTCCCTGTCCCCTTCCATTCTCATCTTTGCTCACCCTTTGGTCTTACAGAGATCATTTGTCTAAAAGAGCACGAGACTCACGGATAATGGTCATCATTTTGTGAGCCAATTTGTTGTGCAACAAGAAGTTGACCTCAGAGGCTAGTTCAGTTTGAAGGTTTGAAGACTGTCAGCCTCAGGGCCGTAGTCACAAGGAACCCATCAGTTTCAGCCTGTGCAGTTGGCCTAGTGATTTGGTTTGGTTTTAGGAATTTGAGGTTCTGTCCCATGTTTTGTCTGCTGTCAGAGTCCTTCACTTGTGACCCGGTACACTCGGATCAATATTGGTGCTCAGGGGTGCTTTTGTATCACGTGGCACCCAGTACGAACTTCTGTTATCCTTTTTTTGGGCAAGCACAGAAGGGCCCTGTTAGGGTGTCTGGAGTCCCCGTCGAGAGATGGTATGACAGAGCAGCTTTGTGATGTGCACTGCTCTCTTCTATTTGAAAACTAAAATGGGATCGAGTATTTGGATGCGATCATGTTTTAATTCTTGCCGGATTAACATTTTCAGCCATTTGATTTGTGGGTTTTTTTCCAAATAAGGCTCTCTGCATTTGGTTAGCTGGTAATAAGAGATTTTTAATTTTACATTGTAATCACACCTTAGAAAACTTAGTAACTATTCCGCAAAAATACATGTCTTCTGTACCTCTAGATAATGCTCGCACTCATTGCAGTGGAGTCAGAACTGGCTCATAGCTGACCCTGCAGTGGGTTTTCTGAGGCTGTAAATTGCACAGGAGACAATTGCCCATCTTTCTCGCATGGAGTCGTTGGTAAATTTCAAACCGCCAGAGAAGAACCACTTTGTACAGACCTCGCCACCAGAGCTCCCTGCATACCTGTGCAGAAAAAACTTGAACTAATGATGCAGATTTGCATTTATTTCCTTGGACACCCCATCAAAAACACGGGACAGAGTTTGTTTTATGGGTCTCTTGAGTGGTACAAAGAGTACTGTGCTCAGCTGCTCACAAAAAGTTTGGAAGTTCAGATCCACCCAGCGGTACATTGGAAAAAAGGCCTAGAGATCTAATTCCAAAAGGTCAGCCACTGAGAGCCCTCTCTGCCACATGGGGCTCACCAGGGGCTGTAGGGTGACTCCATGGCAGCTGGGTTTCTGGTTGGTTTTAAAACTCTGGCTTTGTTTTCACTACATCTGAGTGACATTTTACGAGAGAATATTCACCAGTTTACTATCTCTCCCACCTGGAAAACTTGGAACAAAAGACAGCTTGTTAAAACAGGGACAAACGGACATGTTCCCAGCAATCGTGTTTTCTCCACTGTTTTGCCAGTGCTTCGTTTGATTCTACGGTTCGGCTCTGGGATGTGGAGCGAGGCGTCTGCGTCCACACACTCACGAAGCACCAGGAGCCTGTCTACAGCGTAGCCTTCAGTCCTGATGGGAAGTACTTGGCCAGCGGATCCTTCGACAAGTGTGTCCACATCTGGAATACTCAGGTAATCCCCAAAGCCATCACAGTGCATGTTGCCAATGACCCCGGCTCTGAGCAGCAGCCCTTGATGTGCCCAGTGAGCTGCTCAGTTGGATGGCTGGGAGCAAGACTGCCCAGGTGGACCCCAGCCCCAACGCCATGTTTCCTCTGCTTCATATAGGCCATGGGGTCTTCCCCTCAGTGCGCACATAGAACACTCAGTGGATCCCTCTCCTAGGAAAGGGTCCAGTTTCAACTTTCCCTGGAGCTTTTAGCCATTAAACTCAGAGATCCTCACTTTTTCTGAGCTCCTGGCATCTCATCTTCAACCTGTATCATTTTCTTTAGCCGTGAGTGGTCATCTCACAAAAGCATTACCCAATAAATCTCCCTCTAGAAACTGAGCCGGGTGCGGGTGGGGTGGAATGGGTGCGCTTCCACCCGAGTTACCTAGAGTGGGGCAGCTGCCTAGGGGAATGTCATCCCCAGGCGCTCGACCTTATTTAGTCTGGAAGTTGATCATACCCTAAGGAAACTCTTTTCAACCAATTGGTTACATTATGGAGAGTGATGACCTTATTTTTACATTTAAGATTGTTATGGAAAGTCAGCACACTGCATTATGGAGAGTCACTGTGTTACATTATGGAGGGTGATTACATTGTCTTAACACTGCATTGAGGAATAGCAACTAGTCTATTGTTTGAGCAAATCACTGCAGCTATAACCTAGGCAAGTTGACACATCACAAAAAGGAAGAGCCTCAGATAAAAGATGTTTCAGCCAAACTGATGGGGAGTCCTTGAGCCAAAGTTGCTCATCACACAAGCCTGGTGTCTCGCAGGCCTAGGCCTCGCTCCCTCCGCCACACTGTCTGGCCTGCCGCTGCCCCCTTGGCCTCTGCGGGAATGTGACAGTGGACATGGTGAGCAGTAGGAGTTCTGAGCTGCGCATGCTCACCGCCACCACAGATGTTCTCACTCATTCCTGCATGTGTTTGGAGGTGTGCTTGGTAAACTACCAGGTTAGAATACTGTGTACTCCAGAAGTGTTCCAGGTTCATGCTCACATTGTGTTTCTTGCTTTGCCTTGCAGAGTGGAAACCTCGTGTACAGCTACCGGGGCACCGGTGGCATCTTCGAGGTGTGCTGGAATGCACGTGGGGACAAAGTGGGTGCCAGCGCATCTGACGGCTCTGTAAGCAACTCCAAGGGGTTACAGGACCAGTGTGAGATGGGGAGGGTGACAGTAGCTGAGCCCCGAGAGGGATGGGCTAGCCGTGTTTGCAGGGGGCTCTTATCACTAGGCCTGGTGCTCAGCCAGTGCCTGTCACTCAGCAGGTGCCACCAGGTGGACGTGAAGCAAAGGAGACTTTCCAGCTGGTTCCCATTTGAGTTGAGCGCCCTGCCCCAGCCTGGGAATAGCCAGTTTTCATCTCTTGTGGAATACCATTTCACTTACTATTTTTACCATTAAATTAGTAGTAGTCTGCTAGCATAGGGGACACTTGTCAGCAGTGCCTGGAAGTATTCTGATTTGCCACAAGTGAGAGAGGTGGAATTTACTATTCAGCGCCCTGCACGGTGGACAGGATGGCCCCAACCACAGAGAGAGGACAACTAGGAGGTGGAGGTGCGGGATGCTGCTCCACACTCAGTACACGGGAAGGCCTTGACAGCTAAGAATGTTGTTAGTTTCCATCAAGTTGGCTCCAACTCATGGGGACCCTGTGCGTGATAGGACAAAATGTCACCCCTCCCTGTGTCATGTTGACGGTCATTTGCGTGCTGAAGTCCACTGTTGTTGTGATCAGTGTATGATGTTCTGACTCCCTTCCAAGCCAGGGGGCTCATCTGCCAGCACTGGCTCAACAATGGTCCACTTTTCACTGACTCAACTTCAGAGGAAGATATCTAGGTTTTCTTCCTAGTCTGGCTTGGGCCCTATAAGTTTCACCGAAACTTGCCCACATAGATGACCTTGCTGGCCTTTGAATTGCTGGTGGCGTAGTATCCAGGACTGGAGCAACACATAAACCGGCACAGGGCATGCTGAAAGTTGGCAGGACCCAGGTCTCCTGAGAAAACCTTTCTCATCAGACTCTTGAAGGAAGTGAGCCCTCTGCACCGCTGTCTGATCGTACACTAACTCATAGCCCAGCATTCATTTCCATGGCGACTGTCTGTCTTTTCCTCACCCTTAGTATCCCTGGTGTTAGGAACAGAATTGTTCTCCATGATGGGGACTATCCCGTGCACTGTATGGTGTAGGGCAGCATCCCTGGTCTCCACCCACTACTCAGTCTCTCTTGGGAGCTGTACTGTTCACTGTAGGCTATTGAGCAGCATCTCTAGTCTTTACTCACTAGTCATTTTGTGAGGTAGAGGCCATCGTGTAGGGCATTGTGTAGCATCTCTCATTTCTACCCACTAGAGGCCAGGAGCATCACTCCCTCTAAGTTGTAACAATCAGAATGGCCTTAAAGACTTTACCAAATGACCTGGAGGCAGACTTAGGAAGGTTGAGAGTGCTTGAAGATCCTGACGCTGTCGGACGCCTGCCACCATGAAGTTCAACCCTTTCGTTACCTCGGACCGCAGCAAGAACCAAAAACGCCACTTCAATGCCCCTTCGCATGTGCGCAGGAAGATCATGTCCTCCCCTCTGTCCAAAGAGCTGCGGCAGAAGTACAACGTGCGCTCCATGCCCATCCGCAAGGATGACGAGGTGCAGGTGGTGCGAGGACATTACAAAGGTCAGCAGATTGGCAAGGTAGTCCAGGTGTACAGAAAGAAGTATGTCATCTACATCGAAAGAGTGCAGCGTGAGAAGGCTAATGGTACCACAGTGCATGTGGGCATTCACCCAAGCAAGGTGGTTATTACCAGGCTGAAATTGGATAAAGATCGGAAAAAAATTCTTGAACGTAAAGCTAAGTCTCGGCAAGTTGGAAAAGAGAAAGGCAAATACAAGGAAGAACTAATTGAGAAAATGCAGGAGTGAATGCAACCTGAGGAGCAACCGCAGTTTAACTAGATTTCCATCTGAGTATGCGTTCTTGTGATGTTCCAAAATGACCCTCTCATTCAGAAGTGATTATAAATCTGCCTTTGCAGTTTTGATTCCTATTTTTAAGAATAAAAATTGAAAATGTTAAAAAAAAAAAAGGAAGGTTGAGAGCCATTGTTCTAGAATAGTCTGTCCTGAGTTGTTCTTTGCTGGCTCCCCAGCCCTCGGACATGCAGCACATAGTAGGTGCTCACTCCTTGTTTGCTGTGTGATGCCTGGATTAACTGGTTCGTTGAAGATCAGAAGGTTGTGCCCAAATTCGATCTGACTCATCTTTTTGCAGTAATGTGGTTTGAGCCACCAGAGGGAAGGGACTTTATGTGCAACTAAATAACAGCAAAATAACTCTCACACTTAAGATGGGTAACAGAGAACTGTCTTAAGTCAGAGTGACTTTGTTCTCTTTCCTGATTTTTTTTTATACTGGATTTTTTTTATTCTAATTTCAGTTGAACAAGTTAAATTTCCTTTGATGATCAAAGCATTTAATGGCATTACTCTGAAATTATTATTCATGTTGTTATTGATTGCTTTTGAGTCAAGCACGACTCATAGTGACCCTTTGAACAAAAGGGCTGAAGCCCCTCTACAATCCTCAACATTTATCAAAGTTCATAGAGTTTCCGGAGGCCTGTTGTTCAGGAAGTGGATGCCACTCCTGCTTCCAAACTCTGAAACAGAGGTCAGCAAACTGTGCCACAACTACTGAACTTTGTCACTTTAGTGTGAAACCAAGCAATTGACATAAAAGCCAATACATAAAAGGTTGTGTTCATGTTTTAATAAACCTTTATTTCAAAAAGCCGGTGGAGGGCTGGATGTGGCCCAGGGACCAGTATGCAGACTGCGCTCTGCAGATATGATGAATGTTGTCTCTCACGTTAACAGGCTCTCTGTCTTTCCTTCCAGGTGTGTGTTTTAGATCTGCGGAAGTAATCACAACTACTACAGAAACACGAGTTCTGAAGAAACCACAGTGTGGGGTGGCCACACTCTTTCAAAATATTCTGTCAGCTTCAAAACCATACAAACCTGACTTTCGTTAGAGTGTGCTTTGATATCACCTTGTCCCTGGCCACAGGAGTCTGTATTTTTGGTAACTTTCAAGAAGTTTAAAAAAAAAACCAACCCCAACCAACAGTCCTATGACAGGGGGAAAGGATGGTGTTTCCACTGGGGCCTCTCCCGCTGCCTGGTGACGCAAAGCCACCCATGTGTGCACACACGCTTTAGCTTCCTTAGGGAACCAGCTCTGATGGCAGAAAAGAAAAAGTGAAAACTGTGCCAAAAACAAAATGCTGTGATTAACCAAAAGGGGAGATAAGAAATCCCTCCTCCCTGTGGTGTGTGTGTTTCCCTCCCTTTCAGTTTGGACACTACCGTTGTTCTCACCATGACCTTCCAAAACCAGTATGTCCCAAGGAAATGTGCAGCTCTGTAGTGTGACCACTCTCTCTTTTCTAGTACCCTCTTGGCTAAAGAGCTGTAGTGGTAAGATGCTGCGCTGCAGTCTCAGAGGCATGTGTTTCCAGTGTGCCAGCTGCTCCAGGCAAGAAAGATGGGCAGCCTTCGCCTGTCCAGTTGACTTCCTCTGAAAACCTGCCCGAAGGTCAGCTCTGGGTTGGTCCTGACTTGATGGCTCACAGCAACAGGACCCTTTTGGTTGAGTGGCTTTTTTTCTAAGGGTTGGAGCTCTGTAATTCGAGAGCCCTTCTAGTTGGGGATGGAAAAACTCTTTGGGGTCTGTTGCCTCTGTCTTGTTGTCCCTGGTTCCTCTTGCCCATCCCTTTTGTCTGGTTTTCTTGTGTCCCCATATACCCTCTATAGCTATAACCAGAAGGACCTGTGGCAGAAACTGTATAATCGCCTTCCTCACCCCTCTTCTATCTCGTCCACTCTTTCTCTCCCTGTCCCTTTGGTAGTTGCTTCACATCTTAAGTGTCTCAGCGGCACTTTCCATGTATAGCAAGTGCTTTATGGAAGAATGCAGGGCAGGGGAGACTTTTTACAGCACACTCTCACACACACACATACACACACAAAAAAAATTATAAGAGAGCCCAGAGTATTTTTGGGGAAAAAATATTTTTATGTTGAAATAATTTTAAATCCTAAAATGGCCATCAGATATAGAAAGCTTTGTTTGGCTCATGTTTTTGAAGATTTTACAAGAACACAGGCAGAGTCTTCGGTAGTTTTTTCCTTCCGTTTCACAAAAGGCTGTCAGGAAAACACTAGTTGGAAAGGCATCGGTTCTGCAGATTAGCAGCAGGACAGTTCTGTAGCCAGTGAGGAAAATTCCCGATTCTTGGGTTCAAAGAGGAGCATTGTCTCTGCTGATATGTTCACCTCAGTAGGCAGCAGGACAGAAATTAAGAGTGATGTGCACTCTGACCCCAAAGAACATTTCTAAAACGAGGTGGTCTTGAAGAAGTCCCTGACAGTCACAGGATGATCCAAGTCTCCCCTATTTCTCACTACCTTCTTACAAAGCTGACTTCACCATCCCAAGGTCTGACTGGGTCTCACCACCAGAAAATACACATGGAAGGAAGGTTTTTGTCCTGACGGGGAATCACAGAGGTAGAACATCACTGATCCTTCCTGCTGCCTTTATCATTACTATCTCCCGCAAGAGACAAGAGGGAAAGGTTTTCTTAAATAAGGCATCATTTTTACTGGTTTTTCAAATGTTAAATGTGACTTCATGTTTGGAGAGGAGTCTCCTTTCATTGAATTTGATGACCTGTCATAACAAGGCACTGACCCAGTTTTCAAATTAGCGGGGAAAGTTCTGATGAAACTTCTGCAGGCATAGGAAGTGGGTGGCCAGGCTGGTGGAGACTGGCAGTGGGCAGGCATCAGCAGGGTGTGTGTTCCAGAAAAGAAAGAGCTTCTAGTAGGACCTGGAATGTGCCAGAACCAGCTATAGTCGCCAGGGTGGATTTTTTGTTCTCAGTTGATTAATTGGCCTCCTCTGGGGTGTTGAATAATCCAGGCTCCGTCTGTAGAAAGCCAGGAAGCGCTATGCTTACAAATGGAGTGTTTTGTTCAGACTGTTGCCTAACTAGCCACTTCGCCAAAAGGCCATGGGGCAAGGAGCCAACACTCCCATCCTGGGGGCTAGGAGGCAGCACCAGGCAAGGATGGTGATGGGGGCCCAAAACAGAACTGTGCCCATCCCAATAGCATCAGCTGTGGGGGCGTGTGTGTGCTAAGTGAGTTGAGACGATCTTCACACTAGTGTAGGTAGCCAAGTGTTGAGCCTCGATAAATCTAACCAAATTCAGATCCTCACCTTAGAGCTGAGGTTGCCAGGCCTGAGAAGAGGCTGAGTCTCTGTGCACAGCATTGCGCCCCCTACAGGCGAAGGAGGACCATGTCCCCAGCCTCCACCTGAGAACCAACTGCCTGCAGTGAGTTTGCCTGCCTTGAATCACACAGGGGACCAAACTCGAGAGTGTCACCCCCAAGCACCCCATGGTCGGAAACCCCCACTGCTGCTGCCCCAGCGGCCATCTCCGCGCCCTGTGTCTGCCCACGAGCCAGTAGAGTCCTCTTTGTGGTACAGGGACAGCCCTTATGTGAAGTTAACCCCTTTGTTTACAGTTCTCAATAATTCAAGCTGCGTGTTCGTGACCAAATCAGAGGCTAATTCCGAAAGCTGGCCGACTTGGCCGCTCCGGGCTGGATTTGAAGCGATCAGGTTAGAAGATCGCGCCCACCCGGGGGATGCGCCCCCGCCCTGCTCCACCCCGCGCCACTGCCCAGCTGGACTCTTTGTCTTGAAACCACATCACGAAGCCTAGTGAAGTGCACTTTTGTCTGGTGGAAGGGTCTGCTTTCTTCTGTGGTTTCTCTCCTTTAACCTTGCCTTTTGCCTCCTCTTCGATGGTGTTTCTTGTTGAATATCGAGCTGTTCTCTCCGCCACTCGCTGACGTTTAGAATTCTGGCTTCTGCGGTTTTTATTGTCTGTGTCAGACGTGCAGCCGGGCCGGGCCTCCGCAGCTCTCTGCGTTCCGACCCCACCTGTGTTCACCTCCGCCCACGCGCGCTCACACCCTGAAAAAGAAATCACTCTGCGTGTTGTAGCTCCCTTGTTGCCAGAGAGAATCAACAGATCCTATTCAGTGTCTTGAATAAATTGCTCTATTTTGATATGAGAACTCTCGAGTTGTCTTCCTTTGTCGTTTGGGAGTGTGGGGGCCCCTCGGGGACAGCACCTTCTCACCAGGAAGCTCAGCTGAGCAGGGTCACTCAGTTTAACAGGGAGAAGGGTGCGCGATGCCACCCCAACACCACAAGGCAGCCCCTTGTTACTAGAATCAGTTATTTGATTGAGAAGACCCTTTTCATTATTTCAAGCTGGCTCTTGGGACAACTTCAAGCAAGTGCATTTTCTCTCAAGAGCCAGTGGGTCGTAGGGCTTGGGTTCAAGGTTTACCCTTGAGTCATCTAAGAAGACTCAGCCACTGCTATTGTGTCAGAACCAACTCGGCTGCCCCTCCAGCCGTGGGGCGGTACATCACATGGGAGGAGAGCCCCCATCTTTGGTGAAGCAGCTGATAGATCAAACCACCTGCCTCTGGGCAGTAAAACCCACTAGGCCACCAGACCTCCCTTATACTAGTTCCTTCCCCTTCCTCCCCCCCTTAGTCTATTTCTAAAAGGCCCCAGCCATTGAAAACCCTCTTGGGGCACCCCATTCAACATTCATCTCCATTCTGAAGGCTTACAGCAGGTGAAGGAGGGCCCTGGATGATGCCACGAGTTAACAATAACCAAAAAGTTGGAGGTCTGTGGTACCTCAGAAGAAAGGTCTGGTGATGGACTTCTGAAAGCTCCACCATTGGACCCCGAGTGCAGTTCTTCTGTGACGTGCACAGGGTCAATGTCAGGGTTGAGTCACTGGCAAGTGGTCCATTGGACTGCATGATGAAAGTCAGTGAACCTCACCAGCCTGGTCGAGTCTCTGAGTTGAAGGTCTTGCCATACAAGGGAGTCACGGTCACCGGTTGTTTCTCTCCTCATCTGGTCTGGTCGCCTAGTGGTCAGAAACTGGGCAATACCAGCTGCCCTGTGGGAGAAGGGGGGACAGTCTCCTGTGATCTGCTGCCTCTGAAGACCTGCTGGAGGGTCCACTGCGAGTCAGATTCCACTCAATGGCACATGCCAACAAGAAGTCTGGTTCCTACGTCCGAATGAGGGAGCAGGGGAAGGAGGGCAACCCTCCCTCGGGGGGTGTCCTGAGTCCTCGTGGCCCTCATCTGTGGCACGTGGTGACTGAAGGCTAGATGTCAAAGTATCAAGCAGCAGCTGTAGGAAAACTGACTCCTGTTTCCCGGTAGGGCCTGGGGGTACTTCGGTTTCAAACATCTGGTGCAGTGTTGGAGCACGCATGCAGGAAGGGGGTCTGGGTGATGATTAGGACCACGGGAGAATCTGGGGGGCCGCCACGCAGCACACGTGTGGCCGTGAGCAGCAAGAACAGGACTGGACCTCGTAGACACCCCAATCTCTGTGTTTACCTGTGTCTTTCCTTTATTTGGGGGGCCTGGGCTTGGTGGCATAGTTCACAGGGAGTTGTGTGGAGAAAGCTCTGTGAGGGAGACACACGGGAAGCCTCCTCCCGTGTGGTTTGCCGCTTCTGGAAAGCTCTGGAGGGTCAAGGAGTCAGCTCGACCTCACCACCAGATGAGTTGTGGTGGTGAAGCTTCACCCCGGTGGCGCTGGATGCTGTGAGTTTAGGCCCGTTTCACCCTGTGGAACAGAGCAGCTCAGGGCTTCCAAGGCTGTAATTTTGCAGAAGCAGATCACCAGGTCTCCCACGGAGCCCCTGGGTGGGTTCCAATCACTGGCCTTTTGGTTAGCAGCTGAGGTCACTCTACTTATTCTGACACGCAGGGTTGCTGTGAGTTCGAATCCACTAGATGGCAGTGGGGTGAAGGCGTTCGCACTGTGGCTGACTGTGGATAGACTAGAATCCCTTTGAGAAAAAGTGGAAGATGGGAGACGCTGAGTTCTCTCCACTCCTTACTCACACCTGACCCTCTAGTGAGTTTTCCCAGGCTGTAAACCTTGCAGGACATGGTCCATCTTTCTCCCAAGGAGACTGGAACCACCTGCCGGGAGGGAGGTGGCAGTGCAACTGCCCATCCACGAGGCCATTGGAGCTCTCTGGCTCTCAAAAACCTCACGGAAACGGCGTTTGGCTGACAGCCTGGGCCTTCTCCCCTCCAGCAAGGGAGCAAAGGAGGGGGGCATGGAAGGGGCTGGGCAAATGGCGCGAGGAGAGCCTCAAATGATACAGCCCTTCCACTGAAATGGCAAGGGAATGTTCTGGAAGATTAGAGTCTGGGCTGGAGAGAGTTAAGTCAAGGACCTTGGAGGCCCTTCAGGTTCATTTCCAGGCCTCCACAACAAAGCAAGTCACGCACACGGTTTTTATGTCCCAATGCGTTAAAAATGTGTGTCTAGCGTAGCAAGTGTGCAATAGCTTTATGACATTTACAGTATTTCAAGATTTATCGAAATGGGAGCCAGATGTGAAGTGAACACTCGCTGGGGGCAAATGGCACTGGCTCTGGTGGCTTGGAGCTAAGGAGTTAAACTGCAAACCCAATAGCCTGTGGTTCAAATTCACCAGCTGCTCCGATGGAGGGTCAGCTATGAGTCGGTTCCGACTCAACGCTACATAACAGACGCGGGGTGGTTACACACTTTCCACGTAGCATAAAACATGACATCTGCGAAGTGCAAGAAAGCAAGGTCAGCCTAGGTGACATCCGCAGAGAGAGAGTGAGTGGAGCTGTGACTTCCTCTCGATCCCTACAAAACTATGATTAGAGCCTACTCCAAAACAGAGGAAGTAAGTAAGTGCACTTATTTAAACGTTGTTTATGGTGTGAGAGCGAACGCTACACAGACCAAGGAATTCAAAATCAGATGGCAACAGTCTCTTCCACCAACCCCTGGGCCCCAGGCCCCTCTGTCCACAGCCCTTTCCTCATTCTCACTGTCACGCCCACCTAGATGCCACCCTCGTCCCATCCCCCTTGCCTCTTCAAAGGCTCCGTCTTGGCTCCCCTCCCATCACCAACTCTTCCTTCTACTGGGCCGTGTCTGGGGCATCTACACTCTCCTTAATGGCCCCCATTGTTAAAGGAAGACAGCACAGCACAGCTCCTGGGGATCCACCCCCAACCCTCTGCCCCTCCGCTGGCCTCTGGGAGGCATTTTCAGATGGTGGGGTCTCCGTCCGGGTGGTGTGCTCTGTTACTGCAGTCTCGTTCCCTGGGTGGACTGAATGCACCAGATTTCTGAGAGCCATTTCCCCCAGGGCCTGACAGGGAGCCATGAGGGGGCCTGGGCACCCTCCTCTTCTGGATGCACCTTGCGGCTATACCAGGGGCTGCCGCTGCGAGTGCTGCTGAACAGAGTCCTTTGAACCAGACAATCAGAGGAGTTCCTATTTGCCAGCTTTAGCATCTACCTCTAGCTCATGTGAGCCAACAATGATGGCACTGGGCCACTGTGAGGGTTGGTGGACCAGGCTGGGTGGCTAAGCGGGCAGGAGCAACGACCCACTGCAGGGACAGGACCAGAGCTGTGTGACTGATGCTGCCTCTGACCTCTATAGCACTAGCTAGCTTCCAGTGCGAAGACTTGGGGGATACATCTCATTGGCTCTGCTGGGTCATGTGATTCTGCTTTAGCTGCAAGGGAAGCTGACCAGTTAAACAGGTGGCATCTCTGCCCCTAGAGTCAGGGGAGGGCCATGCCCAGCTGGTGGGTGGTGCTGGTGGTTGAGTGCCCTGGAGTCCATGGAGACTCCAAAGGACCAAACAGAACTGCCCACTAGGGTTTCTAAGACAGCAGACAAGGTCTCTTTATGACATCAGAACTCCACGGTTTTCTCCTGCAGCGCCACTGGGTGGGTCTGAACATTAAGACCTTAGGTCGGCAGTTAAGTGCTCAACCAGTGAGCCATCAGGTGAAGACAAATTGGACCCCTGTGGCATACCGTGACGTAGTCTCTGGAAATGCGCTCCCCCCCCCCCATTTCCAAGATGAACAGAGGCTGTCGGCAGCAATGTGTCGGCAGAACCTCCTCCCTCCCTCTTGCTGGCCATCCAGAGCCTTTCTTATTTCCGGACCTCAAAATGTCGTTCCACACCTCTTGTGATGCCTCCTTCACTTGAGCCCAGGAGCAGGTGTCCCCCACTGCTCCACCCCACCCCTCGCTACCCGTCCTTGTCAAGGGCGCTTCTGGAAGCCCCATCATGGGCTGGACCAGGTTAAGACAAACTGCTCAGTGGCGCTCCCTCCACTTGGCGGCCAGGGCACATGCCATACCCTTGCTGCGTCTCAGCTGAAATCCTCGCATCCCCTTGGCAGCTACAGTGGCAGTGGGCGTGGGCCCTTACACCCCAGATGCAGCCAGCAGGGTGGGCTCTGCATGCAGGGCAGTAGGGCAGCTCTCGGCATCTACCAACCCAGGAGCTTCCCGGGCAAGAGAAAGGCAACCCTAACCTTGACATGAAGGGCGGTGTCAGTGGCAGTGCTGTTGGCACGTCCTGAGAAAACAAGCAGTCTTGCCTCATTGCACACAGCCAGGGTGGCTTGTGACCCCAGTGCAGGCCGCAGCATGTCCCCAAGCAAGCTTCGGACTGGCGCACTGAGGGAAAGTGAAGACCTAAGCAGGAACCTGGCCTTAAGGGAGAGTCAGCACCCAGGATTCCTTCAGCTGTCCCCACAGCACACGGGCCAAGGGTGAGGATCCCTGGTGGTGCAGTGATTGTACTTGGCAATGAGCAAACAGGCTGGAGGTTCAAACCCATCCAGGGGTTGATCAGGAGACAAGATCTGCCCCCATAAAGAGGGTCAGGTCTACTCTGTCACGCGGTCACCGTGAGTCAGAATCAACTTGACAGCACCCAACAACATTATTGCTCCATGACGGCAAAGATGACAAAGCTTCACCGCACAACATTCGGGGTATGTTGTTAGGAAAGGCTATTCCTTGGAAAGGGAAATTGTGCTCGAAAAGGCAGAGGGTCAGCAAAAGACAGGAAGAACCCCCCTCCCCGATGAGATGAACAGACACAGTGACTGCTGCAATGGGCTCCAGTGTGTCAGAGATGCTGAGGATGACACAGCATAGGACAGGGGTCAGGTCTGTTGTTCACAGGGTCACTTTGATTTGTACACAATTAGACACAGCACCTAACAACAACAACAAGGACATGCCCTCACCCCGCCAGACTCCCTGGATGGTGCATATGGTTAGTGCACTCGAAAGATTACTCCACACCAGCCAGAGGTGTCTTGGAAGAAAGGCCTGGTGATCTTCTGGAAAAGGAACCATTGAAAATCCTACCGGGCACGGCTGACTCTGACATACATCATTGCTCACGAGTTGGCACTGATCCCTCTCCACGTCCTAGTGGGCGCATGAAGGGCACTACTCGTGCCTGGCTGCTGCTTTACAGCAATTTACTCCACAATGTTACCTGGAGGTGTTCGGACAGAATCCACATTGGCCAGGAACTTGAGAATGACTTTATTTGACTACTTTTGTAAGGACTTGGATCTGACATTTAGATGACAGCCAGCTGCAGAAAAACTAACAGCAAAGTGGGCATGCGCATTGGGGTGGCTGGGCTAGCGAAGTTTGCCTCCCTTCCCCAAGGGCACTGTTATGGCTCCTATCTCCTCCCTGGAGGGGAGGCCCTGGGGTGAAGCGCCGATTGGGTGACCCGAAGGGAGCTCCAGGCCAGGCAGTGGGCGTTGCACTCTCTGAGGAACTTGGGGTCCTTAGACCCTTTGGCCCCTCATGACTCTCCCTGGGTTCCTGGAGTCGAGTTGGCCTCATTTGGAGGGCAGGAACCACTTGTGGTATGGATTTCGATCGTGCTGGCATCTGATCCTGGGGGAGAAGAGAGAGAGGAGGCGATGGCATCTGAGTCGTGAGCAGAACCGTCACGCGCCTTGGAGAACACTCCCGGGTGCCACTGCACCTTGGACCCAGCGCCTCAGCTCGGGCCGGTACACACAGCCTGTGATCAGGAACTGTCACCCTTTGCCTCACTGAAGTGTACGATAGGTGGTGCAGGGCAACTAGCCTGGGGTCCATCTTCAGCCCCTCAGCGCCCCATCTTCAACATGAAGAGCAGTCACTTGGTCCTCACACAACTGGGAAAGACGTGTGTGATGCAGACGCACAACATGAGCCCTGGGACCACAGCAAAGCCTCAGAGGACGTAGCAACTCCTGTGACAAGGGACCTGTGGTTACCTGGTCACCCATATCCAATTCCGGGACATGCCCCACGGGAAGGAGGGCCCTACCCTCTGTGAACTAACACCCTCCCATGTGGTCTTTCATGATGTTAACAGCTCCCCTCTTCCATAGCTCCTCAGTGCCACCCATGAAGGACATGCCCACATTTCCAGACTGCCACTCTAAAGTAAGCACCAGAATGGAGCAAATATGACAAATAAGTCCCATAGATGCCTTGGTTTCTCAGTATATTTAAAAGTTATGTCTCCACTTTGCTGTAGGGGAGCTCTGGTGGCCTGGTGTAAACGAGTTACACCGCCAATGCGAAGACGGGTGGTTTGACTCCACAGGAGAAATATGGGCAGTCTTCCCCCGTGCAACTTACTGCCTCTGGAAACCGGCTGGAGGGGCAGCTATGTGTCAGTGCCGACTCAAGGGAACACAGCAACAACAACAAAACTTTACTGTAGTCTAAATGTGGCAAGGACAGGAAGTGAGCAGTTGCTGTTGGGGAAATGTCCCTCAGAGATGTGCTCAGTCCAAGATGGAACCTGGGAAGTACAACAAAATGATGTGTGCATGTAAATACACACAGAGCAGAGTCCCCAGTGGCCAGTCTTTGCGTCAATGAACCCCATTGTTGTGGTCCTACACTGGGACTCTGCAGAGAGTGATGGCTGAGCATGTGCCTTCAATGCCAGACACATCTGTCCAATCCTGTATTTGGTGGTGGTGGCAGTGGTGGAAACGGGGAGCTGATTAATTGTGGCAGTGGGAGAAGAAATGGTTTGGAAAGTTCTAGAAAATCCCAAGTTATAGAAAAGGTGGCAGTGTTGCCAAGAAGGCAGATAGATGCAACACTGCACTGTCTCGCCTCAAAAAAGCCCGTTCTGGGACATGGTGGGCAGGAGAGGCTGGGTCTGGGGCTTCCTCTCAGGCCTGGCTCGGAGGCATCTGAGAAGACATGGGGCCTGCATACTCAAGGCAGGTGTACGCGCCATGAAGGGGAGGGAAGGGAGTGTTTAAAGGCGGAGGGAGGACTGAGTGTGGCTCTGACCCCACAGCCAGGTCAAGCAGGAGAGTCTGGGATGGTGAGAGAAGACCTTTGTGTTGGGGTGCAACTCCTGCAGACTGGAGACTAGGCAGAGAGACCATTAGATAGGGCTGCTGGAAAGCCTGGTAGCTCTTCAAAAAGACTTATTTCTCACACTGGGCCGCCACTGGCGATGGGGACATGCCGGCCCTGTGGGAACTGTGTAAGTTTTCTGTGAGTCTTCTCCGCAAACTCCTGGGCCGCTGTGTCACATGGTGACTCATGATCAAAGTCTGGGCTGAGCACACCCGTGACCTTACGCTCCGGGGCACGCCTGGGCCCTGCAGCTTTGAAGACGTCTGGCCCTTCCGTCTCCCCCTACTCCTCCCCCCGCCCCCCCCCCCCCCCCCCCCCCCCCGGCTCTGCTGCAGTGCCCTTCCCTGAATCAAGTGCTGTGGGGCCAGCCACCTGGGCAGGGCCTGCCTGCAGTCCAGCTTGCTGGTCACTGGGATTTCTCTTCGGACCTTTGGGCTCCATGGAGAGAGGCAGGGAGCAAGTCTCAGAGAAGTCACTCCATGTTGCCATCTGGAGAGGTTGTCTATTTTCCTCTTAGTGAAAACTCAGTACCTGAGGGATGTCCAGGGCCTCACAGTACTGAGGCCCACGCCCTTTGCTAGAGGACCCCTACCTAGGCTGACCCTTGGAGGCCTCCCCAGCCTGACACAGAGCTGAGATTTGGAGAGGTGTCTAGAAAGTCTTCCACATTTCTCAGCATAGGCTGGTGAGCACAGTCACGGCTGCACGTTTTCTGAAATTGATGGTAGTCCATCAATTCCTGGGGCCTTATTTTTTCAGCTGCCTTCAGTACAGCTTAGACTTCTTCCATCAGTGTTATCGCTTCTTGATCTTTCGCTACCTCCTGAAATTTTTCAGTGTTGACTAGTTCTTTCTGGTACGGTCACTCTCTGTATTCCTTCCGTATTTTTTTGATGTTTCCTGCAATATTCAAGATTTTGCCCATAGAACCCTTCAATATCACAACTTGAGGCTTGAACTTGTTATTTGGTTCTTTCAGCTTGAGAAATGTCAATTGTTCAACCCTTTTTGTTTTCTAGTTCCAGCTCTTTACATATCTCATTCTAATACTTTGTTTTGTCTCCTCAAGTTGCACTTTGAAATGTTTGCTTCTCTCTCTTACTTCCGCATTCCTTCCCTTTGTTTTAAACGAAGAACACGGAATGGTTTAAAATCAAGTAAGGTGTGTATCCTTTAGCCAGACCTATTCAATCTGTATACTGAGTAAAACACTGGAGAAGCTGGACTCTCTGAAGAAGAATGTGGAGTCAAGATTGGAGGAAGACTCATCAACAAGCTACAGTTTGCAGATGACACAAAGAGTAAAGACTTGAAATATATACAAGAAGACAAAAATCCTCACCAGTGAACCAAAAGGCAACATGGAGGGAAAAAATTGAAGTTGTCCACAAGTTAATTTCACTTGGGTTGGCAATCAATGGCCGTGATAGCAGCAGTAAAAAAACCCAAAAAACCAAAAACAAAAACCACAAAACCCCACAACCATGTTGTATTGGGTAAAGTTGCTGTCAAGGACCTCTTTAGTGGTCCTAAAGTGCTGAAGAGTAAAGGTATCAGTTTAAAGACCAAAGTGTGCTTGACACAAGCCATCTGATTGCTTCCTATGCATCTGAAAGTTGGACAGTGAAGGAGGACAGAAGAATCGATGCCTTTGAGTTGCAGTGTTGGAGAAGAGTGCTGAACATCCCCATGGACCACCAGAGGAACAAACTAGTCTATCGTGGAGGAAGTGCAAGGAGAGTACTCCTTAGAGGCAAGGAGGTTGAGATTTCATCGCACATACTTTGAGCCTGTTGTCAGAATAGGCCAGCTCCTGGAAAAAGGCATCATGCTGGGAAAGGCCAGTGGACATCAGGTCAATGAAAGGAAGGGACAGTGACTGTCACGATAGACTCGAGCATGAGGATGACTCAGAGTGGGTCAAGGTTCTCACCTGCGTTGACTCAACCACACCGAACAACAACATGGAAAGTGTATAGGATTTGCAAAGGAGTCCTGGTGGTGAAGTGGATTAAAAACGCCTTTGCTAATTGAAAGGTAGATTATTTCAGTGCCCTAGCTGCTCCATAAGAGAAAGATGTGGCAGTATGATGCCTTGGGCATCATAAGGGGCAATTACAGTGTACTGTGAGCTGGAATCACCTTGATGGTAGCAGAGTTTTTAATTTCATGTTGCTGAAATGATAAAATATTGTCTCTTCCTCAAAGAGTCTTGGTGGTGTAGCCCTGCAGGATGGGGCAATGACTGGTTTTGTTGAACATAAGATCACCACAAGTCAGAGGCAGCTCAACAACAATTAACAAGAACACCACACTCACACACAAATGACCCCACCTGGCAGGAGGGGGAAACTAGCTGGATGGTGAGTCCCCAAGAGTTAATATTTGGTATACAATATGTTAGAGTAGGTATATTGTTTATTACAGATTCAAATATGAATTTGGGTTCGGACCGGGGATTTTAATCATATGCTTGAAGTAAATGCCCTTAGGCATTTAAAGAGCTGTTTAGCTGGTAGTTTTGTTGTTTGGGGTTTCTTTTTTTTTTTTTTTTTTTTGCTTAAATGCCACTCAGACCCATGGAGGGGCCAGTTATAGCTAATGCAAGGCCTCATTGCTTTGCAACTCTGCACTGAGAGGCATCATAAAAATATTCACCTGTGAACATGATGAGACAAGGTTAGCGTCCATGCCCGCTGTCCTAATTCTCCACCGGCATTGTTTGAAAGGTTGTGGGGATGCCATAGACTCTCCCTCCAGGCAGCTTGTTATTTGACTCCATGAGTGCCCTCCAATCCACTTCCCTTGGAAGATAAGGCTTTACCTACCTTCAGACAGCAGGCTCAAGGCCTCATCAGACGCATGTCCGATACCCCGAGTCATCTTCCGGGTCCCTTGGCTGTCGTCAGGCCCGCAGGAGCCCATGGGGGAGGTGGTCAGTGATTCCCACTGCAGCTCCTTCCTGGAGGCCCAGAAGTCCAGGCTGCACCCAGTCCAGCCATAGAAGGCCAGGGACAAGAGAAATCCTTGGGCCGGATTCAGTGTCCCCTGGTGAGAAGGGCAGCATGGCACAGGGTGGTCAGTAGGGCAGTGTAGCAGCAAGGAGAGTGCTCAGTGGTGGGGGTGAGGCGAGAGCACTCAGGGACAGGAGTTGGACTGGGGCAAGACACAGACTGGCTGTGGATATTGTACCCTCTCAGTGTGCCGAGGAGAGAAGAGGTGAATGGAGAAGAAGGGTGTAAGAGGAGGAGAAGGAAGGAGGGGAGGAAAGGAGAGCAGAAGGACAGGAGATAGAAGGGAGGGTGAGAGAGGGGAGGGAGATGGATGAGGAGGGGGGAGAGGACAGTGGAGAGGGAGAGGAGGGAGGCAGAAGGGGAGGATGCAGAATAGCGCTGTTATAAACCAGGACTGACATGGGGGGCTGGAGTGGGGAGATAACGAGCACCGCACTACACCTGATGGGTGAGGGCACTGTCTGAAAGGAATGTATGATTGGACATTATAAGTGGGGCTAAAACAACTATGAGATATCATCTCACCCCAGTCAAAATAGCAAAATTTAACAGAACATCAAGCAACAAATGCTGGCGAGGTTGTGGAGAAACTGGAACCCTGATTCACTGTTGGTGGGAGTGTAAAATGGTGCAACCCCTGTGGAAAGCAGTATGGCGCTTTCTCAAAAAGTTGCAAATAGAGATGCCATTTGACCCAGCAATTCCACTACTGGGAATATACCCTGAAGAGACCATAGCTGACATCCAAGTAGATATATGTATACCCATGTTTATCGCGGCTTTGTTTACAATAGCAAGGAGTTGGAAACAACCTAAGTGCCCATCAACAAACGAATGGCTAGAGAAGCTGTGGTATATTCGCACAATGGAATACTATGCTGCATTAAAAAACAAGGAACTCACGCAATATTATTCAAAATGGTTGACTCTGGAGAACATTATGCTGAGTGAAATATCCCAGTCACAAAAGGACAAATATTACATGATGCCACTGTTGTAGAATGGGACTGTCCTTGGGGTTGGGGAGAGACTGAGTAAGATGGGTTCAATAATGTATACTGCACTGAAACAGAGGAGGGAGAAAACTGTTTAAAAGAGATATATGACTAGGTACTTCTGTCATCACAGGAGTCTAGAGCGAGGGCTACATGGTGGAGGGGACCTGGGGGAGGGTTTGTAAAACAATGAAAGAATCTTTTCTTTTATTTTTCCATAATTTTTGACTCATGTACTTATAACTTGTTAGTCAAATTTGTGTCTTCTAGGTTGCAACACCCCCATGATACATCTTCAAGGATATGAACATGTACGGCCAAGCACAATCAATAAGAGTGCATCTAAATTCCAAAATCAATCTCCATAATAGTCTATGTGTTTTCTACTGCCAAAGGGGCCCTTTAGAGTAGTGAGAGAAGATCTTCACCCTGAAACCCACAGCGTCCCTTTTCAGCAGGAAGTAGCTAAGAGAATACGCCATCCCCTTTTCCTTATGAATCAGGGTGAAGTCTCTCTCAGGGAGGAGCGATAGGGAATGGCAAAGGACACACCGACAAAGGAGATTAATCAGAACTGACTTTGACAAGCACTGTGGCAATTGGACAATTAAAACAGACATTCGGATGGCAGGGAAGAAGAATAAACTGGGGAGGAGGGTGGAGAGAATGGTGCGGCAATGAAGGAGTGAAAGCCCAGAATCCCTGTGAATGTTCATTGAAACAAATAAAATTTAATAATAATAAAAAAAATAAGTGGGGCAACAATCGGGAACAAGGGGGTGCATTGCTAAGTGGACTAGGGTAGTAAGAAGCGAGGTGGAGGGAAGAAAATGGGAACGAATGAAAAGCCAAACTTTCTGTAAACTTTGATTACAATCAAGATTACAATCACACGAAAAATTTTTGGAAAAAAATAAAAGGAAGAAGGGAAGGGGAGGAGGAAGACAGAAAGAGAAGGAAGGGAAGAGGAAGGGGGGACAAAGGAGGTGAGAGAAGAGGGAGGGGAGGAGGAAAGGGAGCAGAGGAGAAGGGGAAGTGAGGAGAGGGGAGTGCCAGTTTTCAGAGATCAGGCTATCCCAGGGTTTAATGAGTATGTGGATAAGTTTCAGACAAAAAGCTGGGCCGCAGCAACCCGGGCAGGGTAAAGCCCAGCACCAAGGTGAAGGAGAAACGATGGGGGGGGGGCCCTCTACGGGCTCAGGCTCGGGCTGGGAATGGGCTCAGGCCCAGGAAGCTCTACAAGGGAGAGCAAGACTCAAGCCAACGACCCACTCAACTAACCTCTGATTCACCAAGCCATAGGCCATACAGTGTTCCTCCCCAAGCAAAAATTGCACCAATGCCTTTTGTCGTAGTACAAGGGAGAGAGCACTCATCAGCCCAAAATACCTCACTGGGACTATCTTAGTCAAACTCCAAGTTGTCAGCAGCCTCTTTCTACCTACTTCACAACTTCCAGCAATAAGCTGGTTGCCTGATAATAAACTGTGTCTGGATGGTGGACAGGAGCCTGGATAGTACTGTGGTTAAAGTGCTCGGCTACCACTGGAAAGGTCAAAAGTTAGAATCTCTGTCTCGCGGGAAGAAAGCTGAGGCTGACTGCTTCTGTTAAGATGACAGTTCTGGAAGTTCTGCGAGGCAATTCTACTCTGTCCTATGGGGTGGCTAGGTGGAATCAAAGTGAGGGCAACAAGTTTGAGTTTCTGGTTTTTGATCACAGTGACCCTCTGTGATGGAGTAGAATATCCAAGGTTTCCAGGCTGGAATCCAGGGGATTTTCTCAGGAAGCTGCTGCTCCCCAGCCCAGCCCCGCCTGCCCGCTTTCCCAATGGTGCACAAAGAGCCTTAGGCCCCACAGGCTCGGAGCCGTGGGGGTGGGGGAAGCACTGCTTTCATTCCCCCCCCCCACCCCCCCACCCCCGTGCTTCTGAATCAGGATCTGACCTCACCAAGCTTCCGGAGGCCGCGGATGAGCTTGGAGACCATCCGTCCATTATGTGCTGTAAATGCACGTGAGGTCAGCTAAAGGGACCAGGCGAGATTCCAAAGCTCTGCGCCACTGAGGTCCACACCCTGAGGAGTCCGGTTTCCCTCCTTCAGAAGCAGGAGAAACGTCCATTGTTTGCAGCAAAAAGCTTCCCTGCCAATAGCTCACATACTTACTTTTCATTATAAATGTAACGTAATGAAAATATTGAAGGGCGATAGCTACGCAAGGCCCGGCTACCCTAACAAGCCAATAATTGTTCTGCGTGTTTCCACTCGACATGGTTTCATAGATTTGCTTTTCTGTAGCTGTGATTACTATCATTTTAGAACCTGGGTGTTTCACCAACTGTGGGGGTTTCCCTAATCACTATTTTTAATGTCTACGTAAGCATTCCGTCAGGAGCTCTGAGTGCAATGGCCATTCCCTTCTTGCTGGAAATTGGGGACACCCATAATAACACACAGCACAGAGATTGCTTCCAGCAATATTTTCACCCCTGTGGCTTTGCCAGCCTGGTTATCTGTCTGGTCTCAATAAATTTCCAGGTATTGTGGCTTTGTTAAGATGATTTCCATGAGTGGTAGGTACCTACTTAATCATGATTCCACTGGTAAATTAGGCTGACTTGCTTAGTATACCATGGCCAAGAGTAAGTAAACCATGAAAAACCAAAACGAACCCACTTCCGGCTTAGAGTGACCCCATAGGATGTGGTAGAACTGCCTATGGGATTTCTGAGGCCGTAAATCTGTATGGAAGTGGACTACCACCACTTTCTTCTGTGCATGGTAGTTTGAACCACTGACTTTTTTGGTCAACAACCAGTGTGCCATGGAAGTTTCTCAGGAGCCTATGAAATCCTTATATATTCAAATAAGAATGCACTATGTATCTGGGGTTCAGCTTGGTTTTTGGTGCTGTCTTTTTTCCTCCAGGAAGATTTAAAATCACCATTGACCTACCATAATGACCCATGTGGTCTTGGCTGCAATCCTGATGTATTTCAGGGAGCCACCGTTGATATCTGGTTGCATTTCAAGATAGAATAGAAGGCTTTCATTGATGATATTGGACAGCCAGCTGTTGGAAAGGAAATGGCCTCATGAGTGAAAAGGATAGACAACACAATGAGGTTTGAAGTGATGAGGCTGGGCACAGGGAGGGGGACACGTTCTAGCAAGGACTTTAAGTCCTCTGGGGAGACAGATGACTACTTCCTCAGGAAGGGACTTAAAGGAACCAGCACCTTCAGAGGGACATTAGAGAAACAGAGAGCCCTTCCTCAGCCTAAAGCAGAGATCAACAATACCATCCAACACCACATGAGGGTGTAAGGTTCGAGCCTGGGTCAGATTACCCAGAATTCACTCTTTTGAGAGGTCACCCAAAGCCTTGATAGCAGGCAAAATACAGCTTACTTACTGGGCATGATATATTGGAAAGTTTTAGTGTTTCTTGTGTGGATGAGTGAATTTCAAAATTAATAAATAGCTGAGAGCATTTGTAAAGCAAGAGGATATTTCTAAAGGGAGACAATTGACACGCACCCCAACCCCAGGAGGGCATCCAAACGAACTTCCTTCTAGCAGGTGAATTATTTACACCGCCAAGACATGCCATATCCTTCCAAGCCTCGCTCCACCACAGTGATTGCAATCTTGCTTGCTTGGTTGCAGGTCTATTTTCATAGCATCTACCTGACACTTTGTGGCAGGATACCAGTGGTGAGAGAAACGAGAGAAAGGTTTTTATCCTGTTCTCTAGCCTTCTAGACTGAGCTGTGAGTCAGCCTACTAAACATGTGTCTATGCCCCTTTGCTGGACACAGGAATTCTGGGGTCAAGAATGATGCCAGTGGATAAACAGAAGAGCACACCAGACTGCATCATTTTGACGTTGACTCCAGCAGCAGGACAAAATACCGGAAGCATATGGTTGGGATGTTTGAGAACTAAAATCAGGACTTCTTGTCCTGAGAGCTTTCTATGCACTGGGAGTCCATTCTGGTGGAAGCTCGTGAACTGTGGGCTCACTTTCCTGTCTTTGGTGCACTTCCTTGAAGGGCACCTAGCACAGGCTCAAGGATTTCCTTTCCCAAGATTCTTCCCTCTGGGACTTCCGGGCTGCACTCAGAGGAGCAAGCAGAGCCCCCGTCCCAGCAGTAAGGAAAAACAAAACAAAACAAAAATGGAAGAATTTTACCAAATCATTAAAACCAGCATTATTTTGAAAAATCGGATCTTGATGGCAGCCCCCATCCGTCTCTCTGTCTCTGTATAAATGCCTTGTCTTCCTTTAAGCAGCGAGGCCACTGAAAAGGAAAGAAGGCATGTCAGGTTCACTGTGCACAAGGAAAGGAAACAAAGCGACAGAAAAGCCGAGAGAGTGACAAGCAAAACCAAATATAGGTGCTCATTCATCTGCAACTTGCTAGACTCCAGGAAATGTGGATGGACGATAGACGTTGTTGTTGTTAGGTGCTGTGTCTAGTCGAGTACAACCCAAAGCAACCCTCTGAACAACAGGTCTGAGCCCTGTCCTATCCTGTGCCACCCTCATGCTCTCTGACACACTCAAGCTCATTGCTGCACTCACTGTGTCAATCCATCTGGTTGATGGTCTTCTCTTTCGCTTTCCATCCACCTCTCCAAGAATGATATCCCCTCCAAGGAATAGCCTCTCCTAGCAACATGCCCAAAGTATGTGAGAGGAGGCTTTATAACCTTTGCCTCCAAGGAGCACTCTGGCTGCACCTTCTCCAAGACATAGCTGCTTGGGTTTTTTTGGGTTTTTTTGGCAGTCCACAGGATAGATAATCAGTACTCTTCTCCAACACCATACTTCAAAAGCATCAATTCTTTTTCTATCATCTTTATTCATTGTCCAGTTCTCGGATGCATAGCAAGTGATTGAAAAGACCATGACCGGAATCAGGTGCACCTTAGTCCTCAATTTGACATCATTGCTCCTCAATAATTTGAAGAAGTCCTTGACTGGTGACATTTCCAGTGCAATATGTCTCCTGATCTCCTGATTCCTGATACCAAGTGGTGAATCCAAGTAAGATGAAGTCATTGACAGTTTCAATCTTTTCCCCAACTATCAAGATGTTGCCTATTGGTCTTGTGAGAATTTTTGTTTTCTTGGCATTGAGATGTTATCCATATTGAAAGCTGTATTCTTTGATCTTTTGCAGCAAACAGGTTATTGATGAGTCTCCCTCCGATTCTGATGCCACATTCTTCTTAGAATCCAGCTTCTCAAATAATTTGCTCAGCATATAGATTGAATAGGTATGGAGAAAGGATACAACCCTGACACATACTTTTCTTAATTTTAAACCATGTAGTGTTTCCTTACTCTGTTCACACAACAGCTTCTTAGTGTAAGTATAGGTTTTAAATGAGCACGATTAAGTGTTCTGGGATCCCCATTTCTTTCAATGTTAATCACAGTTTGTTATGACCCACACAGTCAAGTGCTTTTGCATTGTCAATAAAGTACAAATAAGTCATTCTTCTGGTTTTTGGTTTTTTTTTCTTTTAGGCAGAATCCATTTGACATTAACAGTGATATTCCTGGTGCCATGGCCTCTTCTAAATCCAGCTTGAAATTCTGGCAGTTCCCTATCTATGTACTGTTCTGGCCATTTTTCAAATGTTCTTTAGCAGTATTTTGCTTGCGTGTGATATAAATGATATTGTTTGATAGTTTCCACATTCTGTTGGACCATTTCTTGGGAATGGGAGCAAATATGGCTTCTCTTCCAGTCGGTTCATCAGGTAGCAGTCATAATTTATTTTATTACTGAAAATACTTTGTTGTTGTTGACAATCTACACAGCTAAACACCCACCAATTCTACAGTTTCTCCACGTACAATTCAGTGGTATTAATTTCTTGAGCTGCACAAGCATTCTTCCCCTCCTCCTCTGCTTTGTTCCTCCCCTATTAACATAACCCCATTGCCCCCTTGAAGTTCCTCTCTTCTTGTTGTTGTTGTTGTTGTTGTGTACCATAGAGTCACAACCGACCCACAGCTGACCCTTAGGCAATTAATCACACGGGAGAAGATTGCCCATTCTCCTTCAGAGCAGCTGGTGGCTTTGAACTGCATGCCTTTGGGATTACACCACAGCTTCTTGGCACTAGGCCAGCAGAGCTCTCTAAGATTCCTCTCTAATCTTTCAAATTGCTTTTCTCAAATGGCTATTATATATGCATTTCTAAAAAGAGCACAATGCTCACTAGTTAAGTTAAACTACTGCTTGATTTTAAGAGTTAAGGAGGTGTTCTTGGTTTAAAGTTTAGAGATTCTCTCAGGACAATAACTTCACGTGTTCATCCAGCCTCCATGGCTCCAGAGTCTAGAGTCATTGAGAATTTGGAAATCTGTTCCTCACTGTCCTCCTTTTGGTCTGTCCTCACGTTTGGATCAGTGTTCAGTAATGGAAGCTAGGCACCATCCAGGTCTTATGGTCTCTTGGGAAAGGAAGCAGTTGTTTGTGGCAGCTATCAGCGATAAAGAATATGTGCTTGCTGCAGAAGGTCAAGGACTGAAGCCTTCAATATGGATTGAAGCTCAACATCAAGAAAAAAAGATTCTCACCACTGGGGTGATTGGCAGCATCATGATGGAAAGTGAAGAGATTAAGATTGTTGACAGCTTCAGTTTGCTTGACTCTACAACCAAAACTCTTGGTACCAGCAGCCAGGAAATCAAAAGATGAATTGCATTGGGAAAATCGGCTGTCAGGAACCTCTCTAGAGTGCTGGAGAGAAATGATGTCAGTCTAGAGACTAAGGTGCACCCGATCCAGGCCGTGGTTTTCGCAATTACTTGCTATGCATCAGAAAGCTGGACAATGACTAGGGATGATAGGAGAATTGATGCCCTTGAGCTGTGGTGCTGGAGAAGAGTTTTGAATTTACGACAAATAGGTTTGTCCTAGAGAGGGTGAAATAAGGCTACTTCTTGGAGGCAAGGATTCTGAAGCTCCATCTGACATACTTTGGGCATGTTGCAAGGATGGACCAGTCCTTGGAGTGGCGATTCTGAAGCTCCATCTGACATACTTTGGGCATGTTGCAAAGACGGACCAGGGAGAGGGACGTTATGCTTGGGAGGGTGAAGGACAGTGCAGGAGAGGCAGATCTTCTATGATATGGACTGACTCATTGAGTGGGATAATGGGGGAAGGTGTGTCAGAGATGATAAAGTTGACTCAGGATAGAGCAGGGTTTAGAGCTGTTATATATAAGGTTGCTATGAGCCACAGAGGGATCTTCTCATAGGGGTTTTGAAAGCTTGTTTCTGCAGAAGTGGCTGGCCAGTCCTTTTTAGAGTGTCTTATTCTGGGAGCTCTGCCTGAGTACAGCGTCTGACAGACAAGCACTTTACCCACACGGTACAACAGGGTTCAGATCTGTTTATAGAGTTGCTATGTGTATTTGACTCAACAGCACATGGACCTGAGGAGTCCTGGTGGTGCAGGTTCAAGCACTTGGCTACAAACTAAAAATCCAACCATTTATATCCATTCACTAGCCACTCCTGGGAGAAAGATGTTAGCAGTCTTCCTCTGTGAAGATTATTACATCCTTGGAAATCCTTTAGGGAAGTTCTACTCTGTCCTATGGGGTCACTATGAGTCAGTAAGGGACCTGCAGGTTCACTTCCCTGAGGATGGCGTGGGGCTGGAACACCTCCCGCTACCTTCAGCTGGCTCGCTACATTTCTCTTACCAAGCTCTTACTATTGACTCATTTCCTGTGCTCTACTTCCTGTTTCCTGTTCCACACTGGGATCCTTCTACTATAGGGAGATACAGGCTATGTTTTGGGAGCCATGGAGTCTGTATATAACTCAGGACTCCCCACTCCACTGTCCTTTATGTCTTCAAACACCACCCAGCCCAGCCTAGGAGTAAAAAAGTGCACTTGTCCTGATTTAGGACAAACAAATGTTGACTAGGAATTATGTAAGCTGTGACCAAAAAGGCTTACTCACTTTCCTTTATTAAACCCACTCATTCTCTCAGTTATATTCTGCATTCACCTCTGGAGGGTGGCAAATAGGGTTAGGGGCTGTAGATGGTTCTAGAAGGCTAGTACCTCATTCTGAGAACATAAATATGCAGGATATTTTAGCTCATTATCTGAGTCCAAGACCCGTGTCTTGGACATGTGTAAAAAGTCATCCTCTTTGATATGTACCCAGAAAACTTTCCTGTAACTTGCCTGAGCTAAGGGTCTCTGAGTGGTGCAAATGATTAACTCACTTGACTGCTAACTGAAAGTTCAAGTCCACCCAGAGACACCTTAGAAGAAATCCTTGGTGGTCAACTGATGAAAAATTAGCCCCTGAACATCCCCTGGAACACAGTTCTACTCTGGGCACTCGGGGTCCCCATCAGTCAGAGTTGCCTCGGTGGGAACTGGTTTACCTGCAGTCACCGTTTTGTGGAACAGGATGGGGTTGGCCACCAGGACAAGCATCAGCGGCAAGTATGTGGTGACATAGTGAGGGATACTGTGCTCCAGACCCTTCTCACACCTGAGAGAGGAGAGCCACATCAGTCATTCTTCTCAAAAGCCATACTCTGGCTAAAATCCGCAGACTTATCTGGGAGCTGAGATAAGAAGATGAGGGAGCAAAAGGAAATGCACAAATCCAGGTCTGACTCTGCCCAGAGGAAACGTGACTCATTTCTTGTCTCTCCTGTCTGAGAAGCAGCTAGGCATGGCAGGAATAGGAGAATTCAGTCTTGTCTCTCCTGGTCTCTGGGCGGAGGACCTCCCAGCCATTCCTTGGGGCACCACACAAAGGTCAAAGAAAGAACGGAAATGACACAGTGCTGGGCCCCCTCACACTGAGTCTTATGGAAGAAAAGCCATCAGCATCGAGGTGAGGCCAAGCATCAGAAGAATGCACGAGGATCTGAGTGCCTGCTAGGTGCAGAAGCATGCAGTCCATGCCCGCCAGCCACCCCCCCCTCCTCTGGTTTCCCTGCTCCTTTATCTGTGTGACTGGTCCTAGTCAGCACGATGGTGGCTCTTTCCAGGGAAAGGACCAGTGGAATCAATGGAAACCTAGTGAAGGCTTGGGCTGAAATGGCATAATGTAGGAGAGAAGGGAAGGAGGAGTGCAGGAGAGGGCAGAGAAGAGAGGGCCTCTCCCGCCCAGCCACAGAGGGAGGTGGACAGCAGAAGAGGAACAGCCCGCCAGCTGGCTCTAGAGGGTGGAAAAGTCACAATGAGAGCAGAAGGTGTGTGTGGAGCGCAGAGCAAAGCAACTAAGGCTGGATGAGGTGCGGTCAAGAGCTGGTTCACCCCTGCCACAGGCAGGGCTTTTTAATAGGTGCTAACAGAGGAGTCCTGGGGTTGCTGTAGGTAAATCACCTTGCCAAGATCAGTGGTTCAAATCCACCAGTGACTTCACAGGAGAAAAATGAGGCAGTCTGTCTTCGGGAAGATTTACAGCTTCAGGAACCCTGCGAACACTTCTGTTCCGTCTCTAAGGTGACAATGGGTCAGAATAGAATTGACAGCAGAGGGTTTGGTTTAGGTTCATAGTCAGCTTCGGTTTGAGACACCCTAGTGGTTTAGTCTGCAGAGAGTCATGCTACTGACCCTAACGTGATAGGTTCAAACCAGCCACTGGATCCTTGGGAGAAAGATGGACAATTTTCCCGTGATTTACAGTTTGTGAAAACCCACTGGAGGGTTTTGAGATGAGTTGGTTGGGTCTGATTCAACAGCAATGGAATGACTTGGATGATCAGCTGTGAAGCGTCCAGTGCCACCTGAAAAGGCTTGAGGGCAAAGGAAGACAAAGGAGGAAGAGGGTCCAGGCAAAGAATGAACAGAAGTGATAGATGGAGAGTGAGGAAATGAGTCAGAAGCACCCGAGGACTCCAGGCTGCAGAGCACGAGGAAGCAAACGCTGACACAGCAGCTTCCAGAAGGCCAGGGCCCCCCTTGGGGAACCTCAGAACCCTGCAGCATGGCACCTTCACCTCTGATGCAGCTCCTTGGGTGACGCCAGGGGCCCAAGGTGAAGGCATTGGGTGAAAATGCGCCAATGAGCCCGTTCTGTGGTGCCAGCCAGGGGACCCGGCACTGCGGGTCTTATGAATGGACATGTTCAGGTGGATTAAATTGTGTCCCCTCAATGTGGGCTGAAGCCTGAACCCCCAGCTCCTGTGAATGTTACCAGTTTGGGGTGGGGTGGACCTGGGCCCTAATTCTTTCTGAGAGGACTCGGATAGGAAGAGCAGAAGAAAGCAGAGAGCAGCACAGCACATGAGGATCATCAAGTCCAGGACAAGGAGAGAAGGGGCAGGGTCGGGCCCCTGATCCGGACTTTCAGCCTCCAGAATGGTGAGAAAATAAGTCTCGGGTCTCTAAAGTCACCCTAAGTGACCCTAAGTGGCCTACGTGACAAATCCAGTTGGTCAAGACTGAGGTAGACCACGCAGTCTCTATCTCAATAATTCTACTCTTCCCCTGCAGCATGAAAGCAGCAACATACGTGGTGGTGGTGGTGTCGTTAGGTGCGGTCAAGGTTACTGTGATTCATTGTGACTCGGTGAACAGTAGATCTGAACCCTGCCCTCTCCTCGTTATCTCTGTCATGCTCAAGCCTGTATTTACAGTCACTGTGTCAATCTATCTCCTGAAGGTCTGCCTCTCTTTTTCTGACCCTTCACCTTTCTCCGCATGTCTTTTTTTCCAAGGACTGAACTTTCCTGACAACATGCCCAGAGTATGTGAGATAAAGTTTCACCATCCTTGGCTCTAAGGAGCAGCCTGGCTGCACTGCCTCCAGGACAGATTTGTCTGTTCTTCTGGCCATCTGTGTGACATTAGGTACTCTTCTCCAACAACATAATTCCAGGGCATCGATTCTTCTATCATTCTTAGTCATTGTCCACCTTTCAGATGCTTGGGAAGCAGTTGATAACACCATGGCCTGGATCAGGCTTGCTTATTCTTTAAACTGACATCACGGCTCTCTAACACTTTGGAGAGGTCCTTAACAGCAGATTTTTCTCAACGCAACATTGGATTTCTTAACTGCTGCTACCATGGGTGTTGATTATGGACAATACAAAAGTAAATGGGAGTGGCTGTGTGCCGATAAAACTTTGTTTACCCTTTCTACGAAGATGGCGCCGAAAGCGAAAAAGGAAGCCCCTGCCCCTCCCAAAACTGAAGCCAAAGCAAAGGCATTGAAGGCCAAGAAGGCAGTCCTGAAGGGCGTCCACAGCCAAAAAAAAAAGAAGATCCGCACGTCACCCACGTTCCGGCGGCCTAAGACGCTGAGACTCCGACGGCAGCCCAAATACCCCCGGAAGAGCGCTCCCAGGAGAAACAAACTTGACCACTAGGCCTTCATCAAGTTTCCCCTGACCACTGAGTCAGCTATGAAGAAGACAGACGATAACAACACACTTGTGTTCATTGTGGACGTCAAGGGCAACAAGCACCAAATTAAACAAGCTGTAAAGAAGCTCTATGACATTGATGTGGCTAAGGTCAACACTTTGATCAGGCCTGATGGAGAGAAGAAGGCCTATGTTCGACTTGCTCCTGATTATGCTGCTTTGGATGTTGCCAACAAAATTGGGATCATCTAAACTGAGTCCAGCAGGCTAATTCTAAATGTAATAAATTTTTCTCACCATAAAAAAAAACCAACCTTTGTTTACTAAAAACAGGAATAGGCATAATGTGTTCTGAGGATTGTATTATACAGATCCATGGTTTAAAGACTATCTTAGTTTCTGTCAAGTAGATTCCAATTCATATTGACCTCCAGTGGCTTAATGGTAGAGCTGAAATGCCATCCCAAAGGCTTCTCTGTGGAAGAAAGATGGGCAATCTCCTTCTGTGCAATTAACTGCCTCTGAAAACCAACTGGAGGATCAGCTATGAGTCAGTTCTGACTTGATGGTACTTAACAACGGCACAGGAAAATTGCCCCACAGAGTTTGCAAAGTTGTAATCTTTGTGGAAACAGACTGACTCTGCTTTCTCCTTTGTGGTTAGCAGGAGAACACTTAACCACTGTGCCACCAAAGCCATCGGTGTCAAGTCACGGTGGCCCTACAATGACTTTCCGAGGCTGTAAATATTCATGGTAGGAAACTGCTTATTTCCCGTGGAGTGGCTACCGAGGTGTAGTATTGGTTAGCAGCTCAATACTACACCAGCCAGAGGAACCATAGTCTGTTGCTGTTTTCCAGAGGAAGATAAAGTTCGCTCTTTAAAATTACCTGGAGACTCTGCACGCACGTATGTTTACAAGCTTTTAAACATGCCGAAATCCTCGAGATGTTTTCCTAGGCCACGTCTTGCGTGGCTATGGTCGAGATGGCTGAGAGGACAGAGTAGAAGGGCAGTGGGCCAGTGTAGAAAGAGAAAGAATTGACTCGGCTCTACCACAGCCCCTCCTTGCTTGCGCCTGGCTGTCTCCAACTCTAGGGAAACTCACCTGCTCGTTCAGAGGAAAGTGGTGTAAAGAGACAGAATCAGAGAGGGGACAGGAGAAAGAGTGTGTGTGTGTGTGTGTGTGTGTGTGTGTGTGTGTGTGTGTGGTGTGAGCGGGGGAGACAGGGAGCAACTCACCCCAAAGTGAGGAGAGACAGGGAGAGAACCCCCCAGGGCCCACACAGTGTATGAACTGTTCCAGATGCAGGCGTGGAGGGGGCGGGGCGGAAGACTTTGGAGGTCCATGCACATTGTGGTCAACCCCTGTTTCCAACTGCACCTCCACAGGGAACCACTCTGTCGCCAAGGGGCTCCCTGGTTTGCTGTGGGAGAACCCGCACAGCTCAGCATTGGGGCCCCTCAGTCCCACCTTACCTGGACACAGAAGGGTGGTAGAGCATGACCCCTCCTTCCACGCAGAGCAGGATGGCCAGTCCCCACGCCATCATGTGGTAGAGGAGGATGGTGCTAGGAGAGAAGCAGAAGGAGAATGGCTACAGCTTACAAAGGTCATACGTGGAAAGTTCTAGAACAGCTCCAGGCAGGAAAATGCACAGGGAGCAACGAACACCCTTGTTGTGTTATATATAAAGTTCATGTTGGCTTAACCCATGTGTTAGGTGCTGTTAATTCCAGAAGCAGTTGTAACAAATTTTAGCTACAAATTTTGTAATTAATTTTGTTAGTACAGAACAACTCGGGAGGTTTTTTTCCTCCCTCACAGCAACTGGAAGATTCGAACTGTGTGACTTTGAGTTGGCAGCACAACTCCTCACCCACCAGGCCACTAGAGCTCCCTAATAAGAGCTAGGAAGAACAAAAAGGCAGGCATCACAGTAAGTGCTCCTTAACCAGTTGTCATCAAATTGACAAATGGCCCCAATGTCTCAGACTGGAACGGTGCTCCATCGGGTTTTCAGTGGCTAGCCAGTCTTTTCTTCTGAGGCATCTTTGGGTGGGCTCAAACCTCCAGCTTTTCAACCAGCAACCAAGTATATTAAGCATTTGTATCCCCCAGGAACAGCAAATGCTCTATTGTTGTTACTAGTGATCATCAAGTGTACAGGCGACCCACACGCAACGCAGGAGCGTTTACGAGGCCTGCTAGAAAAACTAAGTGCAATTGCTCAGCATCGAATGACAACTTACAAGACCAGTGAAAACTACATCCTGTCTAGTGATACCAGATCACAGCTCAAGTTTCTTGAAAAGCTGGATCAATTGGAGAAACAGAGAAAGGATTTAGAAGAAAAAGAAATGTTGTTTAAAGCAGCCAAGAGTCGTTCCAATAAAGAAGATCCAGAACAGCTGAGATTAAAGCAGAAAGCCAAAGAGTTACAGCAGTTGGAGCTTGCACACAGACAGCACAGGGACGCCAATCTCACAGCTCTTGCAGCTATTGGGCCAAGGAAGAAGAGACCATTAGAGTCTGGAAGTGAGGGCATAAAAGACAACCTCCTTGCATCTGGGACACCCAGCCTGACAGCCACCAAACAGTTTCTTCGCCCAAGAACCACGAGAGTCTGCATCAAGGACTTGATATTCTGTCTGGAGCAGGAAAGGCAGATGAGGAATTCACGCATTCTGTACCTGGCTCATCTGAAGTGACCACTCCACTGTCCAGGTGGAGCCTTGCTATTTACTGCCAAAGATACACAAAGAGCATTGTTGCACTATCCCAAAATGTCACTTTGTAGAAAATAGCCCTCAACGTGGAAGGCTATTGTTTACAGTTAGAAAATTTTCTGAAGTCTTACTAGTACATCTCATGGGATTCTTAGTGACCAAAGTTCTGCTTTGTCTTGTGAAAACAGGTTATAAAATAGCAATTTACACAGAAGGGGCATCTTAGCGATCTATGCATTTAATAACAAGCTAAGGCCCTGTTACTACCTGCTTTATTTCCCAGTCTATTTATAACAGTTAGGGTATCATTCCCTAATAGAGTTTACTATAACTTGAAAAAAAAAAGTGTACAGGCGACCCCACGCACAACAAAAGGAAATGTCACCCAGTCCTGTGCCACCTTCAGAATCGTTGGTGTAGTAGAGCCCATTGCTGCAGCCATTAAATGCTCCTTCTGCCGGATGATGATGGCCAGCACTCTGAGCAGCTGACATACGACCCCAGGCTGAGTTACTTGAGGGACTGACCAGTGGACATTTTGAGGAACAGGTTCTCAGACCAGAGCAAGCCAGAAAGTGCCCATGGCCTGCCCTTGGACTTGCACTTGGATGTGGGAAGCTCTGAGCTGGGGCAGCTGAGCAGCAGGAAGGCAGCAGAGGAGAAGGGTCAGAGCAAGGGCCTCGTGGGGAGCAGTGGTCACTTGGAGGAGGAACCAGACCATCTGTATAGATTCTCTTTATTTCTGTTTTTATTTTCAAACTCTTATTTCCTGTAAATACCACAGAGCTGGCCCCTCATGAGATGGACTGACACGGTGCTGGTACTAATGGGCTGGAGCCTGTTGGGATCCATGTCACTGGCCGTGAGGATGTGGCAGGGGAGGGCAAGGTTCAGATCTGCTGTTCACAGGGTCCCTGTGAGTTGCAGTTGACTTGACAGCATCCACCTAACAACAAAGTGATCCAATAATATTCCACCTTTCCATTGGTTGTACAGTAAAACCCGTTTTCACCTGAGCTGATGTAAGGCAGAAACCTGTCAAAGAAGGAAAACTTGACCATTTTCCCCTAATAGAGAGCGATAGGAGAGCGTTTAGCTGCATCCTGTCAAAAGGCAGACAACTTCTGACTTGCTGGATGAATGAGGCAGATCTGCCTCTCACAGATTTCACTAGTTACTTTCATCTGTGGATCTATTTCTATCATCTTATTTTAGGCTCTCCCCCTGCCCCGTCTATTGTGTTATTGTTGTTATGTGCCGTCGAGTCGCTGGCGACTCATAGCGACCCTATGTACAACAGCCCTAAACTCCGCTCTGTCCTGTGCCAATCGCACTGTCTCTGATACTCCCATCCCGATTACCCCAGTCACTGAACCAATCCACCTCATAGAGGGCCTCCCCCTCCTGTGCTGTCCCTTCACCCTACCAAGCATGATGTCCCTCTCCAAGGGCCGGTCTCTCCTCACAACATATGCTATTATATGCTCTCTTTGCTTGTCTTCTTTTACATTGCTAACTTATCTCACGCCCACTCTTATTTTTTGACTCTACTATTTTGAATAGCATATGTTCTTATTTCTCTTATTGTCATGATTATCCGAGAAGTATTCCTCATGATCAATCCTTCCACTTCAGTTTTATTCTAGGTCTGAAAAGAACCCACTAGTGGGCTATTTTCATTGTTTAAAAAAATGTTTCAATCAGATAAAATGTATAGCTTCTAAGCAAACAATCTGAGAGGAACCACCTCAGATGATGCTTGCTCGTGTCTCCCCAGTTTATGGGGTGTTGGCTGAGAGGATGGGGCAGGGGGTTTTGCAGCTCTGAGTTCTCTCGTCCCTATCGCACAGGTGAGCACAGCTGGCTTGCAGCCAACCTTGAGGCAAGTCTTGTTTCCTGATGGAAAGCTGTCAGTGTATGGGGTCCCCCCAGCTCATGTCCCCCAAGGGAAAGCCCTTCACAAGGACAGGACACACGGTCAGCAAGGTGCTCTACGCCTACTCCTTCCTAAAGGCATCCTACGCTCTCTGTACTTGTGTGACCTTGCACTATTATTCCTGGGTGCCCTGCACCTTTTCTTGACACGTAACCTTGTCATTTCTATTCACATGTTGCCATGCACCCCACGTCCACGTGTGACAATTGTGACGTACCCACTGACCAGCCTGGAGCTGTCTGTGCGACTCACGTGAGCAATGGTCCTGTTGTTCTGGCCACCCTGTGTCCATCCCCCTGACATTCCTTCTAAGCCCACACAAAGGGTCCAAGGTGTTGGGCCTTCCACACGGGCCAGGAAGACCCGAGACCAAATGTACACAGGGTCATCTGCCAACCTCCACGCTCGTTTCCCAGCTCTGTGTGATGTGATTCAGGCTAGGGGCTCCCTGGGGCACACTGGCTAGCATGGTGGGCCCAGGCGCTGGGGCTTCCAGCTCTGAGGCCACTAGGCAGCCTGAGGGCTGGGGTGGAAAGGGCGTGGTTCCTGGGAGTAGAGACAAAGGGGAAAAGTGGAGAGTGCAGCCGAGGGTGAGGTGGGTGGAGGAGCCAGCTTCCCCGGAGGCCATCGAGGACATATTTGCCTCCCACGAGGCAGGCGGTGCTTGGCTGCTCTCCCTGGGTTTGGGGGCAGGTGGGGGCAGGTGTACCTTAGCAAGGTCAGCCTGGTGGCCAGCGTTTGGGGTGGGGGATGGCAACAAGGTACAGAACAGTTCCTGCCAAGGGACTGTCCCTCTCTCCCTCCTCCAAGAGCTGGGGGTGCTGCAGGGAAAGCTGCAATGGCGAAGCTGGCAGGGGCTGGAGCTGCTGAGGCCTGGGGTGGGGGGGGGCTTGCCTGTGCCCAGACAGCCACATGAAGTCCAGGTGGGCCGTGTGCCAGGCTGCCCGGGGGGGTGGGGAGCACTGCGTTCATCATGGGTCCGGTCTGAAACCCACTCGTGCGGCTCTGAGTGGCTGGCGAGGGGACAAAATCGCTCATCCCTTGGCCTGGGCAGCTGTAAGGCACGAAGTGCCCCCCAAACCCTTTCCCCAGCATTCTCAGGGTCCTAGAGGAAGGAGCAACTTTGATTCTGGGCCTTCTGCAAATCCTAGCCACCCTCCATTACATTTTCAAGCATTATCCATCCCCCTCCCAGCACCAGAGCAGCGGTTTACATTTTAACTTTAACTCTCTCTTAATGACACTTCTCCAGAGCAGGAAGAAAAGACAAATCTCCCCAGTGCCAAAGAAAACAGCGGAGTCCTGGCGGGTCTCAAGAGGCTTGAGGAGCTGGATCCAGGCTTGCCTGGACCCTGGGCCCATGTGGCCCCCCAGCCTCAGCCTCAGTCCCACATCACAACCAGCCCTTCCCAGACCTCCCAAAAGAAAGAAAAGAAGCCCACCAGACACCAAGCTTGAGATGATTCCACGTGTTACAAAGCAGAACTGTCCCATGGGGGTCTCTGAACTGTTATCTTTAGGGCGAAGTTCCAGTTGCACAGTGGTTAAAGGGCTCGGCAGGCAGTTCGAACCCACCAGTCACTGCGAGGCAGGGAAGATGTGGCAGTCTGCTTCGGGAAAGATTTATGGCCCTGGAGACTGTATATGGTCATTCTACTCCGTCCTAGAGGGATGCCATGGGCTGGAATCAACCTGAAAGCAAATGGGTTTTGTTGTTCTAGAATTTTTATGTAAGTGGATTACCAGGCCTTTCTTCCATGGCACTTTGAGATGTTGGGCCTGGTAACCTTTAGGTTAATAAACCAAACCCACACGTGGCGACCCCCTGTAGGGTTTCTAGGGCGGCACAGATTTACAGGAGGAGACTGTCCATCTTCTTCCCACAAAGCAGCTGGTGGACTTGAAC